AAGGAAGTATTATCCACTCAGGCAGGCTTCATATTGAGGATGCGAGACTTTGTGATGGCTACTGTTTTGACAGAGGTCACCACTACACAATATTGAATCTTACACAGTCCTGCCTTTCCCACTGAATCCACTGTCATATTTACTGCAGGGTCTATGGTGAACGCGCTGTCAGGCTGCCGCTATCTCTGACTGGCTCTCTTATGCCCTCTGCTGGCAGGAAGTAGAACAATCCTGATGGAGACTTGAGTGTTGAATACAAATGAAGAATGCGATTACTCTCTGCGAAACATCTTCAATTATTCCTGAGCCAGATGGTGAACCAAAGCATGATGAGTAATTATGGTCAGTTTAAACCTTGTCTTTTGCGATTGTGGTGGTTGAACTCGTCTCTTGTTTTCTCTGATTTCTCTAAAGCTTCTCATCAAAAAGCTGATCCGTGAACAGACAGGCTACTGCTGAGTGGACCCTTTAGTCAATCAATGGCTTTAATTATTCAATTACAGCTCTAAGGAGAGGCAGGAAGCTAGTCAGCAGCGCTCGGTGCAAACTGGAGTAATTGTGTTGGGCGCTGCATGTGGCTGCGTGTGAATATACTCTCCAGTGTCCATGAATAAGAATGAGGGAGGGAGGGGAGGGAATTGAGTACAAAGCTGCACTATGGAACTTTTCTGGTTTTGCCATGTTATGACATTAAACATATTCACCTGTAATTTATTCATTACATGTGTTTCCATTGCTCAAAAATACAAAATTCTGTCTGTGAATGGGGTGACTCTCCACAGATCTGAACAGTAATGTGCTTAATCTATACTGTGGAACCTGTGGAAATGTTACGCAGTTCACCTTTAAAGCTGCACTATGGAACTTTTCTGGGGAGGGTCTATCGCCTGCTTGTCTCATGGAAATGTTGTTGCTTTGCCTGGATTGTTTCACCGTATGGTATAAACTAGGAATGTAACGATTTGGGATGTAACAATAATCAGCAGGTGTGTTAGTTTCAGTGTAGTTAGCTCCTCTCTGCAGACAGATATAAGGAAGTGTCCACCAGCGTCTGACCAGAACTGAAGAAGCAGCTTGGATGAGCTGCGAAACGTCTTCAACCAAACTTACTTTTGTCCAGTCGACAAACTGAATTTTCACCTCGCCATGGATTCTACCTGGACAACTCAGGGATTCTTCACAATAACCAAACTATCGTGACATCGTATCGTCAAAGTTCTCGCAATAATATCGTGGACCACCACAATATATCGAATTAAAAGTCTCTTTGCTTAAATTAAGAGTTGGCCACCTAGTGCCTCCGCTAAATTTCATTTCTCTCCAGCAACTAGGTTAGGAATCGGAATACACCAGACGGTTCACAAAAACCCTGTAAGTGTGAATTCGGGCACCAGCCAATGAGCGAAGAGCCATTCATTCTGTGTTGACAACAATTCCAGAGATCGAGGATTTAAAGGCGGAACAAAGAGAATGTTTGGTGAATGTTTCAAGGTGAAAGACATTATTGCTCTTCTTCCTACGGGATTTGGGAAAAGCTTAATATACCAGTTAGCCCCGTTAGAAGCACATTACATACTATATGTCATGACTAAATTGCAGCGATTGGTTAAATAAAAAAAGTATTTGCCTACCGTCGAACGAAAGAATTCTAATGCTGCGAAGTCAGACGGTTTATACAAAGTTAAACCGGCTGATGAATCAGGCTATTATGGTGCAGCAATAGCTAAAAAAAGACAGAGGGAAATACACACCATGATCCTTTGCTCCATTTCAGTGCAGACTACATGAAGAAATAACAGTTCTAAGCATTTTTAAGTCTTAGCTCTTTGGATTAAGTTTTGTCAAAGAATTTTAAGAGGAAAACACAGCATATTAACAGTTTTGTTGCCTCCACAAAATATCACAATAAATATCGTACCGTGAGATGTATATCGTGAAAATATCGTATTGAGAGATTTGGATATTGTTACATCCCTAATCATGAGCATTCCCACCATATCGTGAGCTCTCCCATGATATCGCAATAAATATTGTACCATGAGGTTCATACCGTGACGATATCGTATTGTGAGACTATCCAAATCTCACAGTATGATAATTATTGCGATATTTTGGGGAGGTTAACAGAATTGTACATACACTATTTTTTCCTTTTTAAATACCTTGACCTTGTCTTGAGTGTGGATCATTGCTGCCATATTCCAAAGAAATAAGATTTAAAATGCTTAATAACAGTTACTTTACAATGTAGTAAAGTAAGTAAAGTATCATGGCCTATGCAGGTACATCTTTTTTAATACTTTCAAGTGAAAAACCTTGCAATTCGATATATTATGACATCCCTAGTATAAAAGTATCTATCTTTCATTTATTCAGTTCTTGGTGTTTTTATATCCAAAAATGCTTGGTTTGAGGGAGTAATTGGCTTGTTTCCATGGAGATAGCTAAGTTTGTGCAATTTTGTGGAAAGAATGACATGGAGAGAAGAAGGTTAGATGAAGGACGTAGACTTAGACAAACTTTATTGATCCAACAAGGGAAGTTATTTGAACACTGTAGTTGACACATCACAATATAATATAATAACAAACAGCGAAAATATAAACAGACTAATTTGAGGCACTATGTAAAATTACACCTGTTTCTACCTGTCTCCATGGAGATGATATTGCTTCGCTGATGGTTCCACAGTGTGACATCAAGGCCCCGTTTACATATACATGGGTATTTTTAAAAACTGAGACATTTCCCTTTGTTTGTACCCATCTTTTACTTGCAAACAGTGAAGTCGCCTCTGAAAACGAATCTTTCTAAAAACTCCGGCTAGAGTGGAGATTCGGGAAAACTACAGTTTGGCATTTGCATGTAAAGTGAGATAAACAGAGTTTTAGGAGCTGACGTGCCAAAAGTGTGACCAATGTTTCCCTTTTGCTCTGATGGTGATGATCATGGAAACATTCAGAGCAGCATTCATATTTCTTCTGGTGCAGACACTTTTCATGTGTTTGCATTTGCACACACAGCTTGATGTTTTATATCCATGACCAGAGACGAATGAGGCTCTGAGGTCAGCAATTTTGCCACTTCTTAAACATGTCTGTAGAGAGGTGAGCCCGCTCCATAATGCAAGTTTTAAAAATATTTTTGAGTACAGTAATACTTACAACTGGAATGAAATAAACGCTACAGTTTTGAATCTAATCCAGGTGCCGTCCAAAGACTTGGCGTATTTATGATGGCGCTCAAAGGTGTATTTATGTGGGATGATGTGAACGAAAACTTTTTTGAAAACGATGCTATGTGCACGATGTTATTTTGGAAAACGGAGGGAAATATTCGTTTCTAAACATACCCGGTTATGTGTAAACGTAGCCTAATATCTATCTGTATGGAAACACGCAGATAGCACATCCAGACCATGTTCAGGTTTTGTCTATGGAGGCTTTTTTTAAAAATACTTTTTGGACCAATAAAGAGGTTTATTTAATGCCATACAGTGGAAAAGTTACACACTGAAGTACACATTTACTTTCATATTTAGACTGTATTTCTGTGTTGGTATTTTGTGACAGACATTTACATATGCAGTTTACATTTTCGCTGCATAAGAAATTGAAAGGCCATTTTTCAGCACAGTTAAAATCAATGCTGTGGTTCCTTCACTCTGTGCGGACTGAATGCAGAATGATGCAGGAGAAACACAGAAACTTTTGATCATCTTTTGTTTCCAACTTGAACTGTATTTGAGGCTTGATGGTTGGGTTAAAAACATCATTCTGAGCAGAAGTGTTTTGGGCACATTTTGATGACAATGGATTTTCCCGTAACAGCTATTGCACCCACAGCTATTGTCGTGTCTCTGTCATTTTCTCCAATACCTATACTCCACTGGCAGCACATAAAAACGTTTTGTGTTTTAATCCTCGTCTCCCTCTTCTCTCTCCCCCTCTCTGTTTACTTCCTCTTTTACTCTCTCTCTCTCTCTTTCTCAATCCCTTCTCTCTTCATCTTTCTGCCACTATCTTTCTGTCCGTTATAACCCTTTCTCTCTCTCCTTCTCCTCCTCCGCATCCTCTCCTCTCTCCCTCTCGATCCACTTTGTTGTCTGTCTCTTTTTTGTTTTCACTCTCTGTCTATGCTCCTCTCCCCACTTCCTCCCAATCTCTCTCTCTTTCCCCCACTTCACATCCTCCTCTTTCTCCCTCACATTGCTCTCTCTGCCCCCTCTCTCCACTTCCTCCCAATCTTTCTTTCTTTCTTTTCATTCATTCCCTTTCTCTCTCTCCTTCTCACCTTTCTCTCCCGCTTCACATCACCTTCTCTCTCTGCTTCTCTCTTCACTTTCTCCCAATCTCTCACCCTTTCTTTTCATCCATATGCTTTCTCTGTCTCTTTCCTTCTCTCCTCCTCTTTCTTCTTCTCTCTCTCTCCCTCTCTCTCTTTCTCTCTGCTCCTCTCTCCACTTCCTCCCAATCTCTCTCTCTTTCTTTTTCATTTATATCTTTTTTTACTCTCTCTCTCTGCTCCTCTCTCCACCTCTTCCCAATTTATCTTTCTCTTTCTTTTCATTCATATTCTTTATCTCCCTCTCCTTCTCACCTCTATCCCCCACTTCATATCCTCCTCTCTTTCCCTCACTCTCTCTCTCTGCTCCTCTCTCCGTTTCCTCCGAATTTCTCTCTTTCTTTTCATTCATATCCTTTCTCTCTCTCTCTCTCTCTATCTTCTTCTCACCTCTATCCCCCACTTCACATCCCCTCTCTCTTTCCTCCACTCTCCACTCCCTCCCAATCTCCTTCTCTCTTTTTTTTCATTCATATTCTTTCATTCTCTCTTACCCCCTCTCTCTCTCCTCATCTCCCTTCTCTCCCTTCATCTGCCCTTGCTCTCACTCTTTCTCCTCTCTCTGCCACCATCTCTCGCTCCCCCCTTTTCTTTCTCTCTGCTCTATGCCTTCTGTTTCTCTCTCTTCTTTCTCCCCCTCTCTCTCTCTCTCTCAGGGGCATCGGCAAACAAGGATTCCAATGTCAAGGTAGATATCCACTTTTGGCCCTAGCCTCCTGTTTGTCACTATTCCATTTCCTCCGGCCGTGTTTTGTAAACCCGCTCTCCTTGTTTCTCCTCTTTCCTCCGCAGTCTGCAGTTTCGTCGTGCACAAAAGATGCCACGAGTTTGTGACCTTCACTTGCCCCGGCTCGGTGACAGCGCCCAGACCAGATGTGAGCCGATCTATCACTCTTTACACCTCTGCCTCCTATACACGCCATTTATCAAGTCCTATGTGTCATCATCATTATATTTAACCAGCTGCTTCGTGCCGCCGATAGGTGCCAATGAGTCATCCGTCAGCGAGCACGGGTGTAACTCAACCGTGACGCGCAATCATGACATGTCAGCTACAAGGCCGAAACATAAGAGAGAGAGATTTAGGGAGGAGGGGCACGAGAGGTGACAGTCGGGGTAACTCTTAAAATAGGCGACGTTTCAGATGACATCATGAAATTCTATCACTATTTTTAATTGAGTTGGGAAGAGTAAAAAATCAATTAGGGCAGTTTAATAATAGAAAATTTAAAGGGGCGATATTACAGTAATTTGAGTTTAGTTTAGCCGTGTTATAATGTTGTTACCTCATCAAAAACACGCTAGAGTAGTGTTTTGTTTCATTCACACATGTCTGAGTAAACCTTTATTATTAGTCTGTCTTCATCTCCAAAGCTCAAAATGCTTTGTTCCACCTTGTGATGCCTTTTACCTTTTGTTTAATAGAGACTGTACTGAAATTATCCAAATAATTGTTGTGAAGGTAAATGGCATTTAAAAACACAGTAGAGATCTTCCGGTATTACCAGGTCACAAGGTGGAACAGAGTGTTTTCTGTGTGAGAGAATTCTAAATATGCAGAATTTGTGTGTTAAACATGTGGGAATGAAACAAAACACAATTCTAGGTATGTTTTTGATTAAGGAAACAACATTATACTTACTGTATTTTTGGACTATATACCGCACTTTTTGAGGGAAATTTATTTGATAAAATCAGAGACCAGGAACCGACATTTGTCTTGAAAGGCAAGTTATAGTAAAAACAATAGAACAGAGAACAACAGGCTGTTAATGTAACATATGAACAGTTCTTCAGATAAACTATAACGTAAACAACAGAACAGAACAAGTTTACCAAACTCTCCATCTCACTCCAAATCACTAAATCCATTGAATTCTTCATCCTCTGTGTCACTACACAACTTCCAGAGGTAAACAGAGCGCTGCTTCCACTTCTGTGTAGCTGTTGTCAGACTCAGTATCAGTTCCAGTTAGAATTATTCCGACCTTTATGAATCTCGACAGGATGGTTTCGGTGTCACTGAAGTCCAGCCTTTGTCGATCCATCCAGTGACTTCCAGAAAAGTTTCCTAGTGCACCCACCCTTTTGCCGTGAGGCTGTATTCTCCATCTCTGCTTTTCGTTAGTCCCTCACAAGTTTCTCACTCACTCCAAACTTTCTTTCTGCTGCTCAATTACCGTTTTCAGCTGCATATTTCACTACTTGCAGCAGGACAGCGGCTTTTTCTACAGGAGACATGCGCAGTAGAGTGAAGTGACAGTGGTACAGGAGTAATAGGAGCAGCAGATACTGGCACACAAGACTAGAGTGTCCTCTCGAGGCTGTCAGTGTGAAAATTTTAATATATAAGTCACACCGGAGTATAAGTCGCAGGACCGCCCAAACCATGAAAAAAGTGTGACTTATAGTTCAAAAAATACTGTACATAACTCAGAAAATAGTGTAATATGGGCACTTTAATTGTGATATGGCCCCTCTACCAAAAAACAAAAAGAAAAAGATAATACATATATAATAAGTTTGTTATTTTTTTGTTTAAAGTTTAGTGTGAAACTGATTTATTTAAATTTATTCAATTATAGGTGTTTCTAATGCACAAAAAACTGTAAGCGAACTCTCCACAGATCTGACTTGCAACTTTGACTGACAGCGTAAACTGCTTGTCTCTATGGAGATAGATAATTTGAATGCCATAAGGTTAATTCAAACCGTTAGTATCAGCCCCAACTCACTGCTGGCTCTGAGAAACCTTTTTCCATAGTTCAGTCACTTCAAACGGTTTACTATGCAGAGAGCACACGGGTCTATTTTTTACTGCTAATTGCTCCTTTTGCAATATCGCCTGTTTATACTCTATTGAGCAAAAAGGACTTATTATTGTTGTTTTTCAGATATTCTCAGTACTCTCAGTCAGATGGGCGACAAGAGACAGTTTTAACTATTAATTACGTTGTACTTTTCCATGAAATATCCAAAAGGTAAATACACAAATGTTGAACCTCTTACTTTATATTTTGACTAGATTGAAGAACTTGCTAAAAATCTGGATTAACAATATGAATTAGTTTTAGCTGCGCCCATCTGTACGAAATATTATTTGTATTTACAATGTTGTGATGTTGTGATGAACTCAGCAATATACAAAGACGAGTCAGCTGTAGTCTTCCAGATTGTGTTATGTGGTTTTAATTATTTACACTGGACCTATTCCCAAGTATGGAAGCTAGAGCTCTTCATAACATTTGTGTAATTTCCTTTTTCATGTATATTTCTCGTGTAAATACAATGCAGTGAGTACAGGAGAATACTACCTTTTGTCCTCCATCTGACAGAGCAACATTAACACAGTTTACAATCTGAAAACACCCATCGCACCAACAGCTTTCCATTTATACTTGTCCTCTGCTGCCTGTAAAGAGGCGAGCAGGAGGAGAGCGGTCAAGGGTAACGTACATGCGCGCACCATGTGACCGGCCCACAGAGGGTAGGAGGGGACGGGACACTATAGGTTGTGTTCGTGTTCGAGAAGTCAATGACGTCAAAATAGTCTCAAGTGGGGGGCAAGAGCCAGATCTAACCTTTTCATGGGTTTCAGGCTATTGCAACCGTCCTCTGTGGTCATAGCGATTAAGCAATTCAGATCAAAATATTATGTCTTGCGTGGGAAAAGGTCCTCACTAAATCTTTCAAATCAGGGAGAAGCTGTTTGTCTGAAATGCATGAATTTGAGATGATTTTTAGATGACAGAATGTGATGTTTCCTATAAAATATCCAAAAGTTAAATGTTGAATCTGATCATTTCTGTTATTTACTACAAACTCACTGCACTGCAACAAAAATTTGCATTTAAATCATACACATTTTAGCTGTTCCCATCTGTTTTCAATCTTTTTCGCTTATAGAATGCCGAGATGCGATCTGAAACCCAGCAATTGATTCCTGTGTATGGTTTGCTTTATGAGAAATATCTGAAAGGCAAATCCACAAATGCTGAACCAGATCATTTGAACTTGCAAACCAAACCAAAAATCTGCATTTGAACTGTATTCATTTTAGCTGCCCCCATCTGTATCTCATATTATTGGCCGTACACCATATTGTAAATGTGATGTCATCTGTACTCCAGGCATAGTGCAGCTCTGCAGTCTGTGTGGGGCTGAGTGCTGATGGGCTCTGCAGAGCTGTGGAGTGATAAACATGATTCATCATTACATCCATTCATATGGCACATTGTACAGTCACACTCCCCACTGGACAAATGTAATTGGATTCTCCATAAATACCACTCTCAACATTGCTCCACTTTCGGGCTGCAGAATATAGTGTCAAAGTGTTGTAACTGCAATATCAGCTAATGCCGTATACTATGCATACGGACAAAACGGGATTAAATCATTTGCATGTGGTAAGGTTTTTCATTGGACAAATTGTTGATTTACGAATCTTAATCTGCAGAATATGTAAATTATGCTTTCAAATAACGACCACACTAACCTAACCTTTATTGTGGGTCTGTTTAAGTCCTTGATTTGACTTTGACACGGCTAAATCAGTGAATATTTAAATTTACCAACCTTAAAACATTGCCAAAATTGTATTAAATGTATAACAAATAAATTATTACTTGTAAATTATTGCTGGTATGATCAGAATACTTAGTTGGTGCAGTGTTTGTCCACTAATCTGAAGTTTGGTGGTTCGAATCTCGCTCTTAACATAAATATCTTTGGTAGAGCAGTCAGATCCACCGTCCCACAGTTTGGCAGCATTATTCCAGCTCCCACAGATGAGTCCTGTTGTTGTGTCCTTGGGCAAGACACTTAACCCCCCTCTCCTCCAGTGTGAATTGATTTTTTATTTTATTTTTGGAGATTATAGTTGTGATGAGCAATGTAAAATAATTGCCTTTATGTATCTGTTGATTACTACATCATAATGCAATTTATCATTTATGGAAACATCCGAATAAAATTATCATCATTTCATTTCACTGAATAGGTGGTTTCTTGATGCAAAGGCCCTGAAGTTGGAAAAGCACTATATAAAACCGTGACTATTTACCAATTAATCTACTAGAAAGGTCAAATAACACAGTGTTGTTATATTTCAGTGTGACTGTGAGGAATAGTTGGAACAGCAGAGCCCCATATCTCTATAGAGAATTAGATATCACATTTTTCATATGGACCATCCTTTTTCTACTTCCATGTACTTGTAGTTTATTGTGAAAGCGTCCTTGCCTTGCTGTATAAATGTTTTTTGTTTTTTTCATTGTGTTTTAGGACCTGAAAAGCCGACACACCTTTAAGATCCACACATACTCCAGTCCCACCTTCTGCGACCACTGCGGCTCTCTGCTCTATGGGCTCATTCACCAGGGCATGAAGTGCTCCAGTAAGTACCACAGCTACTACGTGTATCTATAAAGGGCCATATGAGTCAGTGTAATCCCTCATTTGTCCTGGAGTGGTTCAATGTAGAGACGAGCAGTGGACATCTGGACGTTGTTTTTGCGATCAACACTCACGTCCAGAAGCCATTTTCAGTTTGATGGAATTGAAGCACAAACATTATCCTGATGACCACAGCTGAAACGTCTGAAAAGGGGCATAGATGTTATAACAAGCAGTATTGATACGATTGCATTGGATAAGTAATAGGGCTGAGTATCGTTAAGAAACTGCCGATACGATACATACCTCGATACAGTGCACTTTTTCAAATCAATTCGATACAGTTCAATGAAAAGTAAAGGCTAAATCGTGGCTGTGATACTAAAAGTCTTTGTTAAATCATTTATTGTGCAAAGTTCATATGAAACACAAACATTTTAATCATCAAAACAGTGAAAATGTCCTTCCACTAAACAAGCAACAAAAACTGTAGCTGTAACAAAATAATTTAGTCAAATATACCAAAAAATACTCTTGCCGAAATATCGATACAGCAGCACACGATATCGACACTGTATCATCACATTAAACGATACGATATACTGATATTTTGATATTTTTGCACACCCCTAATAGGTAATAATTTACATAACAAATGTGTGAGTTATTGTCAAACAAACTATTGTGATGAACTATTTGTAATAAGAAAACTAAATCAAATTACAGTTTTTATTTTTAAGGGCCATTATTACACCATTTTCTGATTAGAGATTTTAATGTTTCCTCATCACAAACCAAAAACAATACGTGGGGTTTGTTTTATTCACAGAAACCCTGCATATTTAAACTGTGTGTTCTTCTCTCAAACAGAAAACACTTTGTTCCACCTTGTGATGTCATGTGGTAATACAGGAAGTGCTTCACTGTGTTTTTAAACTCCATACACCTTCACTAGAATCTTTTGGACGGTATGTGTTAACTTGAACATGACAAGGTGGAACAGAGCATTTTGAGCTTGAAAGATGTAGAAGAAATGTTTTTTGAGGAGGTAACAATATTCTAACATGGCCTAAAGCTCACAAGAATCAATTTTGTATAACCATTAAAAGTTAAAAGTGCATTATATAACTTCTCTGCTCTGATGATTCAATCCAATTCACTTTATTTATATAGCACATTTTACAAACAGTTTCCAAAGTGCTGCACAACTACATACTAATACAACAATAGTAATATAATGATAAAATAAGCACTCAGATTTAATCATACTAGTCTTAAATTAATAAAAGCAGTAAAATAAAATAAGAGCAAAACCATAGAATAGCAACAAATAAATAAAACCAATAAAATACATTGATGTTTTCACTTCACATGACACCACCAGACCAAATTACACGTCAGATCTGTGAAGAGTCGACCCCGATCACTTTGAGAATGCATGTTTGTCAATGTACTTTTGAGCAATAAAAACACTTGCGACTTAATAAATGCAAATATACAGGTTTAATGCTCCACTGTGGAACATCTCCATGCAGACGAGCAGATCACACTATGTAACTTGTGGAGGTTCTGTTTTTTTTTCTCTTTGGAATTAGTTGTACTTCATTATACTGTTATACTAGAAACCTGCAAATGGGACAAATCCGCTTTTATAATTTTAGCAGTAATTCTTTGGAAATTATTTCACTGTGGTTGAGATCCACACCAAAAACTCGTTTATTACAGTCTTTCTTGATCCATCACTAATCTTGGGCTGTTTTGGAATTATCCTGCCAACAACCCACAATGAAAAATAACCAGTGCTCTCGGAAACATAGAGATAATGAAGCATCTTGGCTCGACTGGCTGCAGCTACACTGTTTTTCTGTCAGAAGCCAACAGCCTTTGATGAATTATTCTGAGTGATAGTTTAGTGTTGTGTTTGCAGCTGTGATGTGATCTGGTTTTGACCTGGTTTGGGTCAGTCCAGGTTTAGTCCTCGTTTAATCCTGTTTCGGTTTTAGTCTTAATCTAGTTTAGTCTGGTTTTGTCAGAGTTTAGAATGGGTGTGAAAGTGTTACGCTCTGGTTGAGTTGATTTTCATGAATTATTAGATGTGGTTTAGATCAGGGGTGTCAAACTCAAATTCACAGAGGGACGAAATTAAAAACTGGGGCTAAGTGGTGGGTCAAACTTATTGAAAATAAAGGTGGGTCAAAATGTATTGAACATTTTCAACAACATCTGCGTGTTTTCTCTTTTTTTGAGTAATGTTAAACCCTTTCTTATTAAAATAAATGTTTAATAATAGTTTTGCATAAACATTGAATCCAGAACAAGCATAATGTAAAATAATAACAAAATTTTAAATAAATATTGTCTCTATAGCCTGTCTGTAGTGGGCAGGCCAGCTCTAATACACTTTTGATAAGATCTCGCAGGCCAAATATAATTATATCGTGGGCCAAATTTGGTCCCCGGGCCTGAGTTTGGCATGTCTGGTTTAGATCCTGGGTACATATTGCCAGGCTGGCACCACCTAGTGCCTTCATTTCTCTCCAGCGACTAGGTCAGGAATCAAAATACACTAGACGGTTTGCAAAACCCCGAAAGTGCGAGTTCAGGCACCAGCAAATCAGCGAAGAGCCATATATTCAGTGTTGTCAACGATTCCTGAGTTCGAGGATTTAAAGCCGGAACTAAGAGAATGTTTGGTGAATTTCATCAAGGGGAAAGATGTTATTGCCCTTCTTCCTATGGGATTTGGAAAAAGCTTAATATACCAGTTAACGCCGTTAGCTGCACATACATCACGACCAAACTGCAGTGATCGCTTAAATGATAAAAAGTATCGCTGCAAGGTCAGACGGTTTCTACGAAGAGAAACAAAGTGAAACTGGCTGATGAATCAGGCTAGTCTACATAAACATGAGCAAAACAAATATACAACTAGAGTCATCAGATAACACAATAATGGTAATTAGTAGATTAGGTGCATATGGAGAATGAAGTACAATCAATTTTAAAACAACCCCTGCAATCTTTAACATTTTATTTTTGTCTTTTCCACATTACTTTGCCCCATTTTTGCTTATTTGCTCTTGTTAAAAACCTGCACAGATGGGAACAATCAGAAGGAAATCACATTACACAGATCTGATGCAACTGGTTACACTGAGATGCACACTCCAAATCTGATTATTATGAGATGTTTGAAGTTTTCAGATGTTCACCAGTTGACACCGTTACATTTTCTTTTGCTATGAAACCTACCTGGAATATTGAGGCATTACACAGATGAGTAAAATGATCAAAAAGACACAAAAACAGACACATCTGATGGGAGTAATCTGTTTTCTCTCTGATTGTGGTCTTACTCAGATTTGCTTGTCGTAAAAAAAAAAAATAACTGAATGATTATCAAATCCCTCTGATGTACACAGACACATCCAAGACAACACAGTGAAGCCAGACACACTACATATGAAAGAGACAACATTTATGGCAGAGAATTATTTAGCACATTGAAGGCTGTTGGAAAAAAGCATTTTGATTATTTTAGAGGTTCAGAAAACAAATAATGACAGATCTTGTGTGTATGTTTATGTATATATATTGTTTGTTGTCCTGATAATGGCTATATATTATGCAAATTGACCCTTGTGAGCTTTTGGTTAGGTTAGAATGCTGTTACCTTCTTAAAAACATACCTGGACTTATGTTTTGTTTCATTCACACATGCAATTTTTTTATTATTAGTCTGTCTACATCTCCAAAACTCAAAATGTTCTGTTTTATCTTGTGATGTCTTGAAGCGGTAGTTTTTAAGTTAACAGCTCCTTTTACCTTTTGTTCAGAGATTGGTAATTCCACGGCTGAAATCATCCAAATGATTCTAGTAGATTCGAGACCTCAGAGCAATTAGATTTTCTCTCAGTATGACATTAAATCAGAGTATTTGACTTTTAAACAATAATCATTAGAACAATAATAATAATCATATGTAATGGATGTAAAGAAAAATGTAATTGTACAAGCAAAAAAAAAATAAAACTACTTTCAGCTCTGGTTATCTAATAGGCTTTCTAACTAATAGGACAAGTTTCCAATCCACCATAATTCAAATAAATATAGATGTGCGTGTCTCAAGAACAATGGGGAAAAACAGACAATAAATATACTAAAAAAACAAAACAAAACAGGAAAATGGTGCATTATAGTGAGGGCCCTAAACTCAAATTGCTATCTCCGCCACTGTTAATGAAGGTATACGTTTCCGTTTGAGCGAAGAACTAAATATGCAAAATTTGTGTATTAAACATGTGTGAATGAAACAAAACACAACTCCATGTATGTTTTTGATGAGGAAACAACATTATAACAGAGATCAGAAAATAGTATAATATGGGCCCTTTAAGATCTGGTTGAATACACACTTTAAATTCCCCACTGAATCTTTACTTCTGAGCCGTCATGTGACTGTTTATTATATCTAAGTGTATGTTGTATTATTTTTGAGGCTGTGACATGAACGTGCACCGGCGCTGTGAGACCAGTGTCCCCAGTCTGTGTGGACAGGACCACACAGAGAAGAGAGGCAGAATCCACCTGACCATCCGTGGAGAGAAGGAGGACATCTACGTCACAGGTTAGAGCAGGGCCCATGCCACACATCCACACCCACACATCATCGTCATGTTCATACTGCATTTATTTAAACAAGTCAAATTACAGTGCCTATACTCATTTTACTAAAACACAGTTGACATCATATTTAAGATTTTTACTAAATTTGGCCATTTTTTTTTAGGTTTACACCAGTACGCATTAGGAAATTTGATAAATGTTACCTAGAAAAGCTCCTTGAATGTTTACAGAAATAATTATCTGACAAATACAAACTTTAATTTGTTGAAATCATGTTTAAAGTCTCAGAAAAAATGTGTTTCTTGCATATAAATTGTGCTGAACTTCCTACTGTGTTATCAATATTTTTTTAGAACTCTCTACTTCCTATAATTTTCAGCATATTTTTCAACTTTTCTTGCAAACTGGTTCTTGATTGGCGTAAAACTATCATTTATATTTATATTTATAATTCCATGAAATTAAGTAAAAATTTTAGAATCATAAAAATCTCTCATACGCATTTTAAATCAGTTAAAAAAATCTAGTTTGCAGCTATGTCATGTATCTGGGTTTATGGTTAAAGTCTCTGAAATGACTTTGCCTAGCCACATGAAACCAAAACTGGGGCAAATTTCATGCAAATATTAAAGTGAATATGGCGAGTTTGTGGAGTGAGTCCCTAACATATAATGATACGGTTTTGGATCATAAGTTTTCATGTATAAAATAAGTGATCTCCATAGAATGAAATAGGCCCCGGGGTCTCCATCAAAAAATATGACATCGTGAAACCTCTAAAGATCCAAAGATGACCCTTTTTACAGATGTAGTATCACTGTCTGTGGAAGGTACTATTTTCACACCTTGCATTAGTGATTTTGCCTGTATTCCTCAAGTAGACCCACAATTTACACTTGAAAACAGCCGTTTCGCGTTCATAGTGTAGTTATGTTATGTATTACAGTGTATTACTTGGAGATGTTATTGCTTTGCCTGTTGTGTTCCTTGGTAAGACATTAAAAATATCCATCTAGCATATAGTCATTACACGTGTTTCCATTGGACAAAAATAAAATCCAAATTCACTTGGAAAAATGCAATAAATCCTCCTGTGAATATCCAGTCCACTTTATTTATATCACACATTTTATAAACCTGGCAGTTTCCAAAATTCTGCACAGACAATTTATACAATAAAAGACAGTAAATCATAAATTTAAAAAAAATTAATAAAAAGTGTTCCAGCCATTCATTTTCTTCTGTTTATCTGGGGCTGGGTTGTGGGGGCAGCAGTTTAAGCAGGGACTCCCAGACTTCCTTCACTCCAAACATTTCGTCCGACTCCTCCAGGAAACCCTGAGGCGTTCCCAGGCCAGCTGAGAGACATTGTTCCTCCAGCATGTCCTGGGTCTTCCCCGGGGCCCCCCTCCAGTGGGACATGCCTGGAACACCTCCTGGGGAAGGTGCCCAGGAAATAAAGTGTGTGTGTGTTTGTTAGTTTTTGGGGTTTTTTTACACAGAGGACCACAAAACTCAATATTAGAGACTCCACAGATCTGAATTGTGATGTAGCATTCTGCTGTGCTGTTTAATGCAGCTTTGCACACATTTGTTTACGTTTTACAAAAACAAAACTTAAAACCACATGATTAATTTGCATAAACTATAAGTACTGAAAAAAAAAAAAACAGCTCACTCCGTTTGCGCTGATGCGGTCAGCTTCTGACGGACTAAGGACCGTAAATTAGGCTTTACTCCTCGAGGCTCCTGACTAGAGTGGCTGTAATGCTCTGACAGTCCATCAAGCGGTGCGGCTTCGTAACTTACCAAAGTTGTACTAAAACATTTTGACAGATTTTTGAGCACCGTGTACCACATAAAATCAGTTCGAGATCAGTAAGCACAACCAGAATTAATACATAAGGTGCACTGGATGATAAGGCGCACTGATGATTTTTGAGAATATTTAAGGATTTTAAGTGCTCCTTATAGTCCGAAAAATACAGTATGTATTTTGTATTTAAATAATTAAAGGTATGTTTATATTAAAACAAACTTGGAAAAACATGCATTCTTACAATTAACGGGGTTGCCTCAATGCAGATCTAACCTGTAATTTTGTCTGGAAGCGTTATCTGCTTGTCTCTATTGATATAGACACATTTAATGCCATACTGTGGAACTTTTAAAGCAATGCAATAACATCCATGGAGACAATCAGGTTGCGGACCCTCCACCAGAAAAATTACACAGTGCACCTTTAAGAAGATTACATACAGTGTCATATCATTTCTCAGCCTTCACCTCAGTATCATCGCTCTAACATGAACCAGAATAAAATAACATTCTTATAATAAAACAGTATTATACCAAGGACATTCAGGTGGTGGCGCTCTGTAGTGTGTTTCTGTGTTTCTGTATGTTTGTGAGAGAGGCCATGCCCAAAACAAAGCCTTGGTTACGCGGGTAATGAAGGGTTTGGCTGTGCTGTCGTGTCTAATCAGCTCCTCTCTCTTCTCAGTGAGGGAGGCCCGGAACCTGATGCCCATGGACCCTAATGGCCTGTCAGACCCCTATGTTAAACTCAAATTGATTCCAGACCCAAAGAGCCACAGCAAACAGAAGACCAAGACCATCCGCTCCACTCTCAATCCTGTCTGGAATGAGAGCTTCACCTTGTGAGTTTCTATGAACTTGAACACAAAACTTATAGCTCTTTTACTTAAAGGGCTCACGTTACAACATTGTCTGACCCATGTTATAATGTTGTTTCCTTACTGAAAAGGAAATTGTGTTTTGTTTAACACACAAACCCTGCATATTTAGGCTGAGTTTTTCTCTCAAACAGGAAACACTCTGTTCAACCTTGTGATCTCATGTGGTAATACAGAAGTGCTCCACTGTGTTTTTAAACTCCATACACATTCTCTAAAATCATTTGGATGATTTCAGACCTGGAATTGACAATCTCTACTAAACAAAAGGTAAAAGAAGCTGTTAACTTGAAAACTATCACTTAGGGATGTAACAACAATCAAAATATCGTGATATCGTATTGTCAAAGTTCTCATAATAATATCGTGGATCATCACAAAATATATAAAATTACAAGTCTCTCTTGTGGTGCAACAATAGCTAAAAAAAAAGACAGAGCAACTACATCGCCCATGATCCTTTGCTCCATTTCAGTGTAGACTACATGAAGAAATAATTGTTCTAAGCACTTTTAAGTCTTAGTTCTTTGGATTAAGACATTTTAAGAGGAAAAAGTAGCATATTAACACAAAATATCGTACTGTGAGATGTATATTGTGAAAATATCATACTGAGAGATTTGGATATTGTTACATCCCTAATCATGAGCCTCCCCACCATATCATGAGCTTTCCTACGATATCTCAATAAATATCGTACCATGAGGTTCATACCGTGACGATATCGTATCATGAGACTTGGATATCATTACACCTCTACTACCACTACATGACATCACAAGGTGGAACAGAGCATTTTGATCTATCACAGGGGTCTCCAACCTGTTGCTTGGGAGCTCCTAGTAGTTCCTCAGGAGCTCCACCCCCTTCCAAGTTGCTCACCAAGAGATTTCGGAATTCTGTGTATTGTGGATAATAAGTAACATTTTATTAATGGTTTATGTTTTATAAGCATCTGTTCCCTATCTGTTCCCCATGGCTCTTATATTTACTCAGTTTCTTTGCGACTTCTGAAATTGGTAGCTCTCTGGCATTTTTGTTTCATAAATGTAGCTCACTGAAGAAAAAAGGTTGGAGACCCCTGATCTATGGAGATGCAGACAGACTAATAATGCAGTTTAATAATGCAGATTGAGAACTGACCAAATGTGTGAATGAAACAAAATGCAACTCCAGGTTTGTTTTTGAGGAGGTAACAGCATTATAACATTCTCACAATTCTGCCTTTTGTTAACATGTTTTCCCCAGTCCAGCTCCATTTCCCAGTCTGTTCCAGTCCTCCTTTTGCTGCCTCTGTCCTTTTCCTAAAGCTGCCTCTCATTTCCTAATCATCCCAAAGTAGTCTATATAAACTCCCTCTGTTCACTCAGTCTTTGCTAGAGTGTTGACCTTTCAAGACATAAACTCAAGCTCTTTATCTGAAACTCTGAATCTGAACCCTGTTGTTTGGGTTTAGTGCCTGGTATCATTTAGTACCTGTTTCTAAGTTTATTCCCAACCCATTTCTACTTAGAGTATTTCCCAGTTTTGGAAGATATTTTAGTTCCCATTTGATAATCATACATTCTTCTGTTGTTTTTCAGTCAGATTTGCCATATTAAACATTATCTGTTATAGGACTGAACTAAGACTTTGTTTGCTTGTGTTGCATTTGAGCCCAAGTTACCTGCGTGATTAAACATGATGAAAAGAGAGTCCATTTTGTCTAATATCGGACCTTTAAGTCTTGATTGGGTGTTTTCATGAGTTTTTAAGTTTTCCATTATATGAATTTTGAGACCTGCCATTCAAAATTCAGTTTAATATTTTGTTTTAAGTAGTTAATCGCTATGATAACGGTCCAAAATTGTTATTATTCTAAAACCCATTCACATGACTTGATTGGGTCTATGGATTAAGTGGATTCACTGGTTTCAATGTTTTGTTTGTTAGTTTCTTTGTTTGTTTTTTTCAATCAAAAAATGTCTTACTACTACACTACTCCTGTCTAAACATGCAACATATTCCTAAACTTGTATAATTTTTACTCATATAGTATATTTTTGCTGTGATATTTAGGTCCCAATTAATGAAGAATAGTCATATGTTTTAATCCTTTTTAGTAGCGTGTTGATAAATTGTTTGACAGATACACCATCATTTCTTTTTCATTTTTGTCAAGTCATCTGCTCCATTTACTTGATGATTCTTGATGATGCTATCTGATCTGATACGCCACTTAGAGTTCAAATAATAGGTTAGAGTCAGACCACTCAATTTATTATTTGACAAACAAAAACAGATGACAACATTAAACTAGAGGATAAGTGTTTCTGGCTTGTCGTTTTTGCCTTTCGCATATGGAAGGAATTTGAATCAGTTTGGATGAAATTGCTCCAACTATGTCATCAATGTGTATAGAAAATATAACTCAGCATCGCTTCCTGTAATTTTTCCCAAGAGTTCTTCACAAACTATTTGTATAAAATTCAGATTTATAATTATCACGAGTATTACGCCAGCAAACCAAGTAATCATTTGAAAGACACGAAAATCTGAGCTGCTAGTTTTTCTGCCTGTTTATAGTCAACATTTTGAGCACTTTAAGTTTCATAAGATAGTATACTTTTGCTTTGAATTGTTAATTGCTATGGAAACCGCGCTCATTTCTCACTATCCTCGACCGGAGATGATCTTGACTAGATTTGAAATACATGAAAATCTGCACCACTAGTTTTGCTTTCTGTTTATAGCCGCCATTTTGAGCACTTTCAATTTCCAAAAGATGGTTTATTTTTGCTAATTGTTAATTGCTATGGCAACAGCGCTCATTTCTCACTACTCTCAATGTTGACAACTTTTTGGCTGGAGCTGATCTTGACTCGATTTGAAAGACGTGAAAACCTGCACTACTAGTTCTGAAATTTATGAGTTTCAGGTTCATGTTTACAGGTGCCATTTTGAGCACTTTTCACCTCAAACATAGTAAAATAGAAGTATATTATGCATTGAATTGTTAATTGCTATGGTAACAGTCTTCACTTCTTACCAGAGGTGGGGCCAAGTTGTTGTTTTGCAAGTCTCAACTAGGTCTCAAGTCTCTGACCTCAAGTCCGAGTCAAGTCCCAAGTCAAATACAGCCAAGTCCAAGTCGAGTCTTGAGTCACTGGCCCATAAGTCCAAGTCAAGTCCAAGTCGTCTGCTTTGAGCTTCAAGTCATTTCAAGTCTTTAAACCAAAGTACCAAATATAGCTTAGATTTCTGCAATTTATATGACTTTTAAGATAAATTGTACTTTAAAAATCATAGTATATTTATATTTAAAGTATTTATAGAGTATGTATGAGTTGTAGAAATGCAGTTTTTTTCATTTTTAAATGTCTTGACAAGATCTTACTGTGAATCATTACAGTGAGAATAGAAAGAATTCAGATTTAAAAGTGCTTCTCAAGTCACAGGCCTCAAGTTTGAGTCAAGTCCCAAGTTATTGAACCTTCAAGTCCAAGTTGAGTCCCAAGTCTTAGTCCATTTTATCAAGTCAAGTCTCAAGTCCTAAAAATAGTGACTCCAATCTGACTCCAGTCCAAGTCACGGCTTGCAAGTCCAAATCTCTGCCTCTCACTACTCTCAACATGAACAGCTTCTCTGGCTCAGAAAATCTTCAACTGGTCATTGTGGATTTTCTCACTCAAAACAATTTTCTCCATGGCAGTGTGTTCCTCCTGTGGGATGTTGAGTTTGTGTTTCCACTTTGCTCCAGCTCAGTGCGCGGACACCAGTGGGACCGCCGCCTGTCAGTGGAGGTCTGGGACTGGGACCGTACTTCCCGTAATGACTTCATGGGGGCGCTGTCGTTCGGAGTGAGTGAGATTTTCAGACGGCCCATTTGTGGCTGGTTCAAACTCTTGGCCCAGGATGAAGGAGAGTACTACAACATCCCTGTGCCTGACCCAGATCTCCAGGTAACTACTGATTTATAAAACATATAGGGAAAAGTGCATGGAAGTTTTAAATGTTTTGGTTTTATCCAGTTTTGTCCTGGTTCAGGCCTTGTTAAGTCCTTTTTTAGACCTGATTTAGTACTAGTTTTCTTGTTTCGTTTAAGTTCAGATGGGAGGAAAACTTGGGAAACATGTAATATATCATGCTTATTTGGGGGTTGGGGAAAACCTAATATAGTCCTGTTTTAGACCTGGTGAAGTCCTAATTTAGAAGGCTTGGTCCAGTTCTAGTTTAGTCCTGTTTTAAGCCTGGTGTAGTCCCAATTTAGACCTGGTTTAGTCTTGTTTTAGGCCTGGTGTAGTCCCAGTTTAGACCTGGTTTAGTCTTGTTTTAGGCCTGGTGTAGTCCCAGTCTAGACCTGGTTTAGTCCTGTTTTAGGCCTGGTGTAGTCCCAGTTTAGACCTGGTTTAGTCCTGTTTTAGGCCCAGTTTAGACCTGGTTTAGTCCTGTTTTAGGCCTGGTGTAGTCCCAGTCTAGACCTGGTTTAGTCCTGTTTTAGGCCTGGTGTAGTCCCAGTTTAGACCTGGTTTAGTCCTGTTTTAGGCCTGGTGTAGTCCCAGTTTAGACCTGGTTTAGTCCTGTTTTAGGCCTGGTGTAGTCCCAGTTTAGACCTGGTTTAGTCCTGTTTTAGGCCTGGTGTTATAGACCTTGTTTAGACCTGATTTAGCCCTATCTTAGTCCCATTCAAAACCAGATGAACTCCTAGTCTATAGTTTAAGGCCTAGTTAAGACCTATTTTACAGATTTTTCCGATTTACTCCGGGATTTGTGTTGGCTCAATAGTAAATTCATTTTACTGCTGACTTTTATGAGACTTTTATGGAGGATACAAACAATGTCAGTAGTTTGGGGATATCTGTGTAATTAATTCTTATGATTAGCTCTCTGCACTGTGAGGATATTACAACTATTATTCACTATAATTGTAGTCATGGATAAGTCTTATCATCACCTGAAGTGCAGATAGAATCCACCTGCAGAAACACATTGAAAAGTTATTTGTTATCAGGCTTTTAAGCAGACGCGGGTATTCAAAACTATACTCAAGTAAGAGTAATGTTACTTCAGAATTATATTGCGCGAGTAGTGGTATTTTCAAATGATGGGCAGTGTTCAAATTATTTAATTTTGTCAACATAAAGCTTTTGTCACTTAAAGTGTTACTCACAGTTGGAAGAGTAACCACAATTTTTACTTTTAACTATTTACGTTTTAATAGGTATTGAGTAGGGATGTATCGATATCCAAATCTCACAGTACGATATTTATTGCGATATTTTGAAAAGTCTTATATAATTGTAGATAAGACACTTTGTTTTGCTTTTAAAATACCTTGACAAGATATTGGTGTGAATTGTTACCATCATAATCCCAAGAATTCAAGTAAAAAACATATTTGTTCATGTTGTTTGCACTGAAATGAATCATGGGATATGTAGTTTACGATGTTTATAAGCTGTTGCTACTATAAAAACATGCATTTAAGCAAAGAAACTTGTGTATCAATATATTGTGACAGCCCACAATATTATTATGAGACTTTTGACGATACGATATCACGATATTTTGGCTTATTGTTACATCCCTAGTTTTGAGTACTGTTACTTCAGTAAAAATAAGCTGCTAGAAAAGTTCACAGTAATGATAATAACTACTCATGTGAGACTTTATTATGACTATTATTTAATTTGAGCTATTTGTGTGAAGTGTTTTGCCAAATTTGTCAGTGAAAATAAGCATTTGGACAATTGTAATTTAAGAAAAGTCAGTTCAAAGTGTGAGCGGTCTCTTTGCCTCTTTGTCTCTCCTGTAAAGTTACCAAATGCTTCCTCTGTTTTGACTCTGAGGCCTTAATATGGAAATGGCTGCAGGGGGAAATATGACCACACCTGGACCGTGGACAGGCCCACCATTTCTTTGTGCTAATCACCATTTATCCTCAGGCCTTGGCGCTACCTTTTAGGAATATAATTATCAACTTATAATAAACAACATCTGTCACCACTCGCTATGGGTCACGATTTTCAACTGTCCCTCTGCTTACGATTCACTTAAAAAAAAAAAAAAAAACTACCAGAGATTTATGCAGCGGCTGTTAGCTAAATAATGAGATAATAAATAATGTCCTGGCTGTAGCTTTAGTGCAGCCTCGCTCAGACTGCGCTGCAAAAAGAAATATGTCCCAGTTAAATGGCCTCTATTCCCAATATTAATCTTGGTTTCAGTAGTTTTGAATGAAGATTGATTCGGTTAAAGGGTTTAGATCAGTGGCTCTTAAAGTTTTCATACCAAGCACTGCCCCAGAGAATATTTAGCTTCCCAAGTTCTACCAGGACAAGACGGGTTACAATTCAATGCTAAAGCTAATCTGTAATAGTTATTAACGGTCTGAATTACAACTAATCTGTAATTAAACCAAGAAAGTAGCTGGCTTTATTGCAGTTCCAAGGCATACATAAAGTTCTAACATATTAAAATGATAAAGTACAACTATAATGCAGGATCTTGCCTAAAGTAGCCTGCTTATTACTGATTTGACCTATTATGATGAATTGATTATGAGATATTTGCTCTTTTCTGCTTCTGTCGAGCTAAATGGTCTTCAAGAGCAATAACTATAACCAACTCTTTTAGTTTTCTTTACTCCACTGCATGATATATATTGTCGAAAGTCTATCAGTAACATCGTGGACCATCACAATATATCAAATTACAAGTATCTCTGCTTAAATTCATTGTTGTGGTGCAGCAATAGCTAAAAAATCAGAGGGAACTACATAGACCATGATCCTTTGCTCCATTTCAGCGCAGACTACGTGAAGAAATAACAGTTATAAGCACTTTTACATCGTAGTTCTTTGGATTAAGTCTTGTCAAGGTATTTTAAAAGGAAAAAGTAGTATAGTCACAGTTTTGTTATAGTCCACAAAATATCACTATAAATATCAGACCGTGAGATGCATAACATGAAAATATCGTACTGAGATATTTGGATATTTCAGATGAAGAATGATCAAACAAAAGAGCCAAATGTAAACAGAAAGTGAAAAAGGTTGAGACAACTGTGGTATGTTTACTACAGTGGGGCTTTCAGGGTCTCCTGCTATTTTAGACTTTATTTAATATAAAAACTAAAAATTCATGTAACCATAGCGATGCATTCATGATTTGGGTCTCTCCCTGCTAATCAAATCTTGCTGAGTAAACAAATGCAATAACCTTGTGTACTAGAACTATTCATCGTGTTTGCTGTGGTCAGCCCCATAGTAAGTGTGTATATGTTTGTTTCAGGAGCCTCAGCCAGATGCCCTGTCGCCCTTACCCCCTGTCTCCCCTGTCCCCCTGTCGGAGAGTACCCCGGGGCCCCTGTCGCCCTCCTCCATCGCCCTGCACCCCTGTGTGCCTGTGCACTGTCCCAGCCCGGGCAAGCACAAGGTCACCATCCACGACTTCAACTTCCTCATGGTGCTGGGCAAAGGCAGCTTCGGCAAGGTATGTGTATGAGTCTGTACACACTATGAGTCCTGTACACACTATGAGCCTGTACACACTATGAGCCTGTACACACTATGAGCCTGTACACACTATGAGTCCTGTACACACTGTCATACATTTATGAGTCTGTACACACTATGAGTCTGTACACACTGTCACATTATGAGTCTGTACACACACTACTATGAGTCTGTACACACTATGAGTCTGTACACACTATGAGTCTGTACACACTGTCAGGATACATTTATGAGTCTGTACACACTGTCAAAGTACATCTTGAGTCTGTACACACTGTCAAGGTACATTTATGAGTCTGTACACACTATCAAAGTACATTTATGAGTCTGTGCACACTATCAAAGTACATTTATGAGTCTGTGCACACTATCAAAGTACATTTATGAGTCTGTGCACACTATCAAAGTACATTTATGAGTCTGTGCACACTGTCAAGGTACATTTATGAGTCTGTACACACTGTCAAGGTACATTATGAGTCTGTACACACTGTCAAGTACATTTATGAGTCTGTACACACTGTCAAGGTACATTTATGAGTCTGTACACACTGTCAAGGTACATTTATGAGTCTGTACACACTGTCAAAGTACATTTATGAGTCTGTACACACTGTCAAGGTACATTTATGAGTCTGTACACACTGTCAAAGTACATTTATGAGTCTGTACACACTGTCAAGTACATTTATGAGTCTGTACACACTGTCAAGGTACATTTATGAGTCTGTACACACTGTCAAAGTACATTTATGAGTCTGTACACACTGTCAAGGTACATTTATGAGTCTGTACACACTGTCAAAGTACATCTATGAGTCTGTACACACTATCAAGTACATTTATGAGTCTGTGCACACTGTCAAGTACATTTATGAGTCTGTGCACACTATCAAGTACATTTATGAGTCTGTACACACTATCAGCTACATTTTTCAGTGTGTACACATTGTCAGGGCGAGACAAGGACTTTTCCATTTTCCCATAGACCTTTCGGACAATAAAAATAAAGAGCCATGTCAGGAGGTAATCAGCTAAGTGGTCACGATTTACCAGTCATATCAATTCCAACATCAATGTTTAAAGAAGGCATTATTTTTTGTCTGCAATATTTAAATCTATGACCCGTGGATCATTAAGACAATTTAAAATGCAATAAGGATATAAAAAAGTATAAAACTACAGCTCTGGTGATGAAGCAAATTGATATACAGAATATTTATGAAGATTTAGAATCAAACGATGATGATGATCTTTGGTTCATCTGTATGTGAGACTATAAAACTAATAGTAGTACTTGTAGCAGAGGTGGGGACTTCAGTCACTATTTTTAGGACTTGAGACTTGACATGACAAAATAGACAAAGACTTGGGACTTGACTTGGACTTGAAAGTCAGTGACTTGGGACATGACTCTGACTTGAGGCTTGTGACTTGAGAAGACTTGATGCTTCTCCTAAAAATGTAGGTTTTTAGCAAATGCTTTTCTGTTTACAGCTGATAAATGCCGCGCTGAATTTTTATAGGAATAAATTGGAACATGCCCCTCCCACTTCTGCTTGTTACTTACTGAAGTACTGTAATGTGGTATCCTCAAATGTACTACAGTAAAATACAGTACAATACAGTAAAACGGAGGGAACTACATAGAACTTGATCCTTCCATTTCAGTGCAGACTACATGACAGAATGAAGAACTGTTGTTAAGTGCTCTTAATTAAATCTTAATTGTTTCTATTCTGACTGTAATAATTCACACTAAGATTTTCTCAAGACATTTAAAAAGGAAAAATTGCATTTCTACAGCTCTTATATAAACACTCATATACCATGACTATTTAAGTACAATTTAGTTTAAAAGTCTCATAAATTGCAAAAATTTGAGTTATTTGCTTTTTTTGGTTTAAAGACTTGAAATGACTTGAAATGTAGCTCAAAGCAGATGACTTGGACTTGACTTGGACTTATGGGCCAGTGACTCCAGACTCGATTTGGACTCGCCTGTCTTTGACTTGGGACTTGACTTGGACTTGAGGTCAAAGACTTGAGACTTACTTGAGACTTGCAAAACAACGACTTGGTCCCACCTCTTGTAGTATCAGGTAGGAGTTTTGGCTGTAGCAAATACGTACTTGCAGTAAACTCCAGGGTCCATAGCGAAGGGTCATTATTACTCTATTTTCTATTATTCTCTTTTCTTTGTTATGTTTTTCTTTCTTGATCAAAAGAGATGTAGACAGCCCAAGAATGCAGAATTACTCCAACATGCATGAATGAAACAAAACACAATTCCAGGTATGATTTTAACAAGATAACAATATTCTAAAATGGCTTAAAGCTCCCAAATCTCCAGTCAATTTTGCATAATACAGGACATTTTAACAAAAGTGCTCTTTTACCACTTCTGTTTAAAATTTTAATTTGCGATTATAACAGTGATTATAACTAAATGACATGTTTTCTTTGGCATTTTACATCCTTAAATGAGATAAATTACTCATGAGTCCCCTGAAAACATAAATGGGATCAGTGTATTCTGCCTCTTAACAAACAGTGCTCCCCTCAGTATTTGGAGAGGCACTTCACGCGGCGACAACACCATCATTGGCCACTTTAAATAACTTTCTCTATTGATATCCCTGACCTTCAAATGGCATTTTATGCACGAGCGGCCGGCACCACCACACACTTTATTTGCTTTGATAAATCCTCCCTCCCACTAACCTGCCTTTTGTGGCTCTTTTTCTGCCAAGTGAACAGGGACTCCTTACACTGCACTTCTCACTAACTACATGGACTTAAAGGACCTTCACAATGAGAATTAGAACATTTATTTTGGACATGTTTCTTGGTATTTCTGTCTCAATCCAATTTATTTTTCTTGTTTCAATTAAAATGATGTGTCCTCAGAGTAAGATGGCCTTTTTATTTGATGCATAAATTTTGAGTGATATTTGAGTGTAATTTCTTACACCATTTGTTATTTTATTAAAGGATATTATGCTAAATTCACTCAGAAATACCAGAAAATAACCCTGAAAACTTAGTCTATGAACTTGAAGTGTTAAGATATGTTTAGTTCACTGTTCTAAGTGAAATGTTTACCTCATCACAAACTTACATTTCATTCACACATGTTTGAGTAATTCTTCATTATTAGTCGCTAGGGCTGAGGATCATTCAGAAGTTGTCAATACGATACATACCTCGATACAGTGCACTTTAGATTCAATAAGATATATTTCAAATCGATTCGATACAGTTCAATACAAAATGAATAATGACTAAATCATAGCTGTGACACTGAAAATCTTTGTTAAACCACTTCTTGTGCAAAGTGAAGATGAAACACATCCATTTTAAATAATCAAAACAGTGAAAATGCCAAAAGTGTCACATAAACAAGTTTCCCTCCTCTGAACAAGCAATAAAACTGTAGCACTCTAAGAAAATCATTAGTAAAATATACCAAAATCTCTTTGTAGTAAAATATACCAAAATACATATGTTACTCATGATATTGATACTGTATCATCACATTAAACGATACGATACATCAATATTTCGATATTTTTGCACACCCCTATTAGTTGGTCTGCATCCTCAAAGCTCAAAATGCTCTGTTCCACCTTGAAGCAGTAGGTTTGGTGAATTTGTATGAAGAAAAACGAAAAACCCATCACTTCAATCCAGGTAAAAAAATGCATTGTAATGCGCGTTACTGACATTTGTACCAAGTAAAATATGACCATTTTTCCCTGTAATGCCTTACATTACTGCATTACAGCAAAAAGCAATGTATTAATTAGTAATTTGTTACTTTTATAACGTGTTACTCCCAACACTGTTGGTTTACAGCTACCTTTACCTTTAATTCAGTAGAGATGTGAAATTTACAAGTCTAAATGATTCAGGTGAAGGTGTATGGAGTTTAAAAACACAGTGAAGCACTTCCTGTATTACCACATGACATCGCAAAATGGCACAGACTTACACAGCCTAAATATGCAGGGTTTGTGTGTTAAACATGTGTGAATGAAACAAAACACACTCCAGGTTTTTGATGAAGAAACAACATTATAACACAGAAAATGTCGCAATATGAACTCTTTAAAATGCATATAGTATATCTGTTTCCCCATTGTTGTGAGCTCCAACTACTCCCCGCATCACTATCAGTTTGTTCCCCACTTTATTATGAGTCTAATCCCACAGCCAATGAGCAGTTACAACGACAGCTCTGAGTTCTCGGTCCTCTTCTTCTTATTTCCCTGCACGGTTTCATAACTGTCAGAGCTATTCCACCGAGGACAGGAGAGATAGACCGACTCTCCTTACATAAGATCAGAGGGAAAAAAAACACAGTTGGGGAAAGAGAGACGGACCCTGCGGCTGCAGAAAACCATCTGAACACGCATTACTGTTCAGAGGAAAATGGCCAAAATGAAATGGCTTGACAAGATGGGAAAAGGCGTTAAAGTAATATTATTAGGGCTGTGTGTAACTAAGCTTTGTAATATCGTAGAATTGATCCCAAAAAAGCCAGCAGTATCAAAGGACTTCTCTGACTGTCAGCTTATCAATACCCTGAGTTAATACGACAAAATAACCCTATTCTAAGTGAAAATTAGATTCCCCTATCTCCCCGAACCAGCGGCCATTACACTGGGCTTGCAGCATGGGCAGATAAATAGCGGAATAGAGCAAGGTCTAAGTTTCATTTGAACTACACAAAAACAGATACGTGAACGCCAGGGCGCCGACTGATGGGCCCATTAAGTTTCAAAGTCATGTGCTCGCAGACACTTTTACAGCCGAGCATCGGAGGAGCTAAGCGAAGCAAAGTTACAAAGTGGTAGGAGCTGAAAACAGAATTTGAACATTGTGAACTTGAGCTGACCTTCCGTGAAAAATACTTTGATGCTTTTTTGGGTTGATTTTTTTCGATGCGCTCTTTAAATGTGATGTGTGCGATTTGTCTTTAACATGAAAAACACTTCGAGCTGGTTCATTTTAAATGGTTTGCAGTGGTACAAAGTTATTCCTCATTTACCTTACGTATTCTGAGCATCCTGTTATTCATGAGTTCTGCTGTGACAGTAAAGTTAACAACCAGCATGCTAATGTACAGTTCCTGATTGTCAATTAAGTGCTTTCAAATTAGATGCAAACTGTTCACAGAGACACTTACTTTGACCCCAAGAACTGCTTATACACAGTGATGGGAAGAATTCTTTGAAAATAAAATGTATTTTGTAATGTATTCTGAATATTTTTACATCAAGTTGCATTTAAATTATAGTGCTTTATGTTTGTTTCTCTGTTTGTTATGCATTTCCTATCACTGACTAGAGAAGGAACAGTTACACTTTACATGTACCACAAGAGCTGTGTCTATTTTTCTCCAATTTTTGGCAGTTTGAAGCCAAAATTGTGAACTCAAATACAGCAAAGAATTCCTGGGATTTTAGAAAAGTAACTATATTCTGAATTCCACCAAATGAAAGACTAACTGTAACAGAATAGACTCAAAATCTGTATTTAGAGCACGTATTCTGGGTATATGTGTTCAGTTACTTCTCAACACTGCTTATACACTAAAATATCTGTACTGGGGCAAGACAAATTTTATTCAAATGCGCAAAAAAAAACTTTCAACTTCATCTTATGAGGGGCTGCTACAGTGAGTCAGTGGCATTTTGGTTTGGCTGTAACTATTAATCCACTAATTGTGACTAAACAGTGTGTTGTATTTTGATAAATATAATCATTATCTTGACATTAATAACTTTAGACTTAGACAAACTTTATTGATTCACAAGGGAAATTATTTGGACACAGTAGCTCACACGTCACAATATAATGTAATAACAGAGAGCGAAAATAGAAATGCTATATAAATTCTAAATAAGTAGCAGAAAAAGATAGACAGGTGTCAAATAAGACATGATTATATAAATGTAAATAAATGTAAAATAGAAAGATGAGAAATAAAATATAAAAATAGAAAGATACGTAATAAAATACAAAAATCACAGTTTTATACAAGAGGTCATAGGAATACAACTTTATCACTTTATTTATAAATATTCTCAATTTAGAAGCCTTCAGTCACTATTTCTCAACATTTATTTATTTAAAAATGTTTGCAAAGTCAATATGTACATTTGAAATATTCATGTATTTTGTCGACTAATTGAAAAATAAGCCCTGAAAACTCCCAGGTATTTTTTTTTTTTGTATAAACAACATTATAACAGGGTTTTAAAGTAAAGCCTAGTTTAGCATAATATAATAAACCTACAAAGGAAATGCATCTAAACTTCACAACTCCTCCAAACAATATCAGTATTATGAATTGTTTGAATTGAACTGAATTGAATTGTTGAATTGTTGAATTCCACCAAATGAAAAAGTAACTGTACTGGAATACAGTTACTCAAAATCAGTATTCAGAGTGTGTATTCTGGCTGTATGTATTCAGTTACTTCCAACACTGCTTATTAGGGGTGTGCAAAAATATTGAAATATCAATATATCGTATCATTTGATTTGAAGATACGGTATTGATATCATGGGGTGCATAATTGATATATCACCAAGAGTATTTTTAGGTATATTTTACAAAATTATTTTGTGTAAGAGCTACGGTTGTGTTGATATTTTCGTTGTTTTAACAAGTAAAATGGGTAACGAGTAAAATGTTTTTCATATTACTTTAACTTTGCACAAACTTAGTGGACTTAGTTGACCTTTAGTATCACATCCATGATTTAGGCTTTGTTTTTCACTGAACCGTATCGAATTGATTTTAAATATATCGAATCGAATCGTATTGGATTAAAAGTGCACTGTATCGAAAAGTGTATCGTATCGAGGTATGTATCGTATCGGCAACTTCTAAATGACACCCAGCCCTCTTACTTATACAATACAGTCTGTACTGGAACAAGACAGATTTTACCCAAATGGAAAAAAAAACTTTCAGCTTCAACTTGTGAGGAGCTGCCATAGTGAGTCAGTGGCATTTTGGTTTGGCATTTGGAGTTTTATGCCAGATGCCCTTCCAGTGTTATTGTGGGAGTGGGTCACGTGTATGAATTTTCCCTTCCGACCTCGGACCTGAACTTCATCTGTTTGGTCACTGGGCTCAAATTCTCATAAACTTTGCATTTGTCACGTTACATATTTAAAAAACTACTTCTTAACTTAATTGTGCACTTCATCTGAGAAACAGTTTTAGTCTTAATAGAATTGCCTGCAGCTATTTTTCTCACCTTTAAATGAGATTTCTTGTATGTCTAAATCTAATTAACTCTTGGCTTTGAATTGCAGTGAGCTTGTTCTGCTTTGTACTCGTGCAAATGACAAAACATTCCAGTCTATTTTCAAAACAAACCAATGCATTAATAAGTAGTAATTGGTAGGAACTAGTCTGCTCAAAACGCTATCACTTTTTCCTGTCAATAATTAAAGGTGCGCTGTGTAACTTTTCCACTGGAGAGTCCGCCACCTGCTTGTTTCCATGGTGATGATATTGCTTTGTTGCGCAGAATGGCATTGAACTTATTTAGTAGCACCACTGGGCCAATTGGCAAGTCAGATCTGTGGAGAGGTGACCCTGCTCGCATAATAAAGCACATACATTTCGAACTATAAAAACATGTCTAATTAAATCCAAGCTCTAGATGTTTAATGCTTTACTGTGGAACATTACAGATGACTTTATAACGTGTAATAGCTCCACAGACCAGTGAAGTTCATTTGGTCTTTTGATAATCTATTCTGACTGATTCTTTTTTCAAACCTCCACAGTGGTTGGCAGACACCCCAACATAAAAGTTACACAGTGCATCTTTAATCGAGCCCTATTACACAATTTTCTGAGCTGTTATAATGTTGTTTCCTCGTCAAAAACTGACCTGGAGTCGTGTTTGATTTCATTCACACATGTTTAACACACAAATCCTGCATATTTACGCTGAGGCTACGTTTATATGATGACGGTCTGAACAGAAGACGCAAATGTGGTGTTGCATCTTCACTTTTTATTCCGCATTTAGACAAGGGTCAGGTCAAGCGGTAACGCAGGGAAACAGGGGCAGATTTTTTACATTCCAATAGCTCTTATTCAGAAACTAGAGGGACTATTGAAATAAGTAAGGTATTAGAATGTAGGAAAGAGTTAGCACTCCAACAGGGTAAAGTTAACCCTGCGATATTCTTTCAAAAGTACCAACTCTTGTAACAGAGGTAATGAAATATGCAGCACTTTTTGGGCAATAAATACAAAAAGCGATAACTAGCGGTTCTCACTTACATATCCTTAACAAACTGGTTTGAATATTTGCTTAATATAGTTTTCTATCATATGGTACAAGATTAGGTTGAAAAACTTACTTACTTTTTGAATAATGAGATTTTTTATTAAGAAAGGTCATGGTAACAGACGGAAACATAACAGAGGGAAAAGGATGGCAGCATCATCTGCAGTCCGATTTCCTTAGGACAGTATCTGTGAGGAGTGTGAGAGTAAAAATGCCCCCTCGTCTCAGTTTATAGTCCCATGAGCACATTTTTTTTTTTTTTTTTTTTTTTTTTTTAGCATTTTGAGTTTTGGGGATGTAGACAGACTAATAATAACTGGTTATCAAAAAACATGAGTGAATGAAACAAAACACAACTCCAAGTGTGTTTTTGAGGAGGTAACAACACTCTAACATGGCTCAAAGCTCACAAGAGTCCATTTTCTGTAATATTGGACCTGTATAAAAAATAGACTTTTTTAGATTATAACCCTGTCTTTAATTGTCTGTAGGTTTTGCTGGCGGAGGAGAGGGGCAGTGAGCGTCTGTTTGCGGTGAAGGTTTTAAAGAAGGACGTGCTGCTCCAGGATGAGGACACAGAGAGCGCCATGGTGGAGCGCCGAGTCCTGGGGCTGTCCTCACGACCACATTTCCTCACCGCCCTCTACTGCGCCTTCCAGACAGAGGTGTGTGCCCTGATATTCTATTATACTATTAACTCAATACTTTGCCATGAAATATCCAAACAGTAAATTCACAAATGTTGAACCTGATAATTTCTATTTGCAGTTTAACTCTAGAACTAGATATCACTACTATGTCTTTAAGCATCTGCCAATATCTGATGTTTACCGTTATGAGTGCAAGGACTGAAAATTACCAAAAAAAATGCAGAAAATACAGTTAACTTATTACAAAATTGTCTCCTGCAAGTAACGACTGAAGAGCTATGAATTCAAGTTTAAACACTGTGAGACGTCCTGGGCCTACATCACTCAGTAAAGAGTCCAATCAGGATATCAACTGAAGTTATATCAAGGAACCAATACCTGCAAATGTTTCTGGATCGCTACTGATATTCGGGTTAAGATAAAGGGATTCCAGACTGTTGGGATGTCACGTGAACCTAATTCAGTTCATTTTGTTTTGCCCATTGCTCAGTTTTACAGAAAAGTTCACTACAGTTATTGCATTAACTTTCATTGCATTAAACTTTTCCTTTAAAATGTGCACTCTGAACACAATCCTATTAAAACATAAATGGCAAATCATAATTGTATTGCATGTCAAAGAAAAAAAAATGTGATTGGATATTTTTCCAAAATGCAGATAACTATTCCAATAATGAAACAATTACACAAACACTGCAGAGGAGGAAAGGCTGATATTGGTAACATGCTGCAGTCTTAATGTGATTTCTTCGGGATTAGGGCAAGAAATCACATAAACTCTCATAATACATGAGATTATTATGACTCACATAAATATAAGAAAATAATGTATCACAAGTTTTTCATCATGGGTTATTTTCATATAGAAATAAAGCATTTTATCAATTCAAAACAGAAACATGAAAAGAGCCAGATTTTATTTTCTTGCTTCATTTTATTTTTATATTAGATACTAAGAAATATACAGAGGGGAGTTTGGATATATTTCAGATTTAAAATTCTAATTTTGTCTCATTTTTTAAAGTTAAAACTTTAATAAATCAGGCTTGGATTTAGATTTTTTTTTAAATCCTTCTGTACTTGTCGCCAAAATGTTGTATAAGATTCAAAGGCTTTAAAGGGAGATTACAAATAATTTCCCTTGTGGATCAATAAAGTTTGTCTAAGTTTAAGAGTCCCTATGAGCGGAAAATGCATTTTCAGACAACAGCCTTTTAAATTACAATGTCCCTTATGGATTTGAAAGCTTAAATGCTAAGAGACCAAGAGACTGGCCAAAAAACTAAACATTTTTTAAAATGAGCTGTAGCGTCTCACCTTAAGACTATACAACCTCCAAATGATTCAGCTGGTTTTGATATGAAACAGTTGTTAAAAGTGCACTGTGTAACGTTTCTGAAAGAGAGGAAGGCAGAATTGGTTTATGTAGAATGTTCGACAATAGAGCATTATCTCGCATTTATTCAATTCAGTTTTTGTTGCTCAGAAAATACCTTGAAAAACATGCATTTCTACTGGGAGCGGGGTCACCTCTCCACAGACTTGACCAGTAACTTTGGAGTTATATACCTTACAGTGGATCAAATCAATACATTTTCGCTGAGACATACAGGATGGTGTTCTCTCCTCCAGAAAAGTTACTTAGTGCACCTTTAAATAAAATATCTTGGCATTTGAATTTGAAGTTTTCACAGTGTTGACCTGGAATATACAACCCCATATGAACCCAAATTGTGCACGTCTGGATACTTCTGAGCAGGTTCTAAAGTTGCTGTATTAACCTTGGGACAAATCGAACTTTTTTTACTGGTAAAAAAAACTTGTTGAAATTCTGTGAAATGCGTTTAAACTGCTAATTCATGTGAGAGAATAGAGCGGAGCTGAGTGAACCGAGTGACTTCAGATGTAACAGCTATTGTTGATGATAATGAGCAAACACAAACTTTTTTCTATCTCTTTCTGCGAAATAGTCAAACTTTAATTTACTGTATCTCAATTTAAACTCAGCAATACTCGGGGCTACAGCAGACAGAGCAGACAGAGCCAATAATAAACATGTTTAAAAGAGTTAACCCTTTACAAATCCAGCCTTTATATTTCCCTAAAATGCACAAAATGACTCAATTCAAGCTGATTCTGTGTCTGAACCCTTTGGAGCGCAGACAAATGGCTGGGCTCTTTGTGAAGCTGAGGCTCTGTATTTTTGGCTTTCTGTCTGATCTGCTCTCATTATAAGTGGGAACAATCTCTGCACAGAGCAAAATCAGATTTCAAACCCTGCCTGGATGTTGCTGGTAAATATAAGAACAGGTAGCTGCTGTCTGGAGGCATCGTCCCGTAAAGAGATTATTTGTTGTTTTGACAATTCCCATGTCAAAGCTGATGCATAAATCACTTAAAATGAGGTTTAGAGACTGGTTATTAAGTCAAAAAAATAAAAAGTCCATGCAGAAATCCTACAAAAGTCTTTTTAGGAGTTGTTTTTAATCTGTGGGTTTGGAGTACAAACTGGTCCAGAACGGTTGACTTGTCAGAAAATAAGTGGGTTACAGCTTTGCCTTCATCTTTCACATACCTTGCAGCTTCACAGTTTCCTGATGGTGGACAAAGAGAGAAAAATCTAATTCAGAAAGCCCGCGAGCAGACTCTTGTGAAGTTAAATGAAACGGGTGCAGACTTGGGCAATGACAGTTCCTAGTTCCGAGTTTTGGCCTTCTGTTTGTAGGCGCCATTTTGAGTAATTTACACAAGTCAAAAGAAAGTAATATTTCGTTTTTCATCACTCTGAAACCCATAGATAGGAGCAATAAGAGTTCCACTGTCCCCATACCGTCTTCTTTGCCATATGGGATCTGCTGTTATTATCCAGATTGATAGTGTGCGTCCTCACCAGTGTGTGCCCCCTGCAGGACCGGCTCTACTATGTGATGGAATATGTGAACGGAGGAGACCTGATGTTTCATATCCAGATGGTGGGCAAGTTCAAAGAGCCTCACGCAGCGTGCGTTAAAAGTGCCTTTTCTTCTTCTACCTTTAATCAGTGTCTCCATCGGCTGCGTCCCATTTCACGCTCTCCTCAGTCCTTTGTTCCTCATGCTCTTGTCCGGGCTTCGTTCACCTGAGGCACTGGACAAAAAGAATATCTACATGAGTTGAAAGAACTTGGATTCAGAATATAGATTGAATACTTTTCACTAGTTTAGATTTATTTAGATAAAGGTGCACTACAGAACTTTTCTGGTGAAGGGCCTCTCACCTGGAGATGTTGTTTTTGCCTGGAATGTTCCACAGTATGGCATTAAACTTATCCATCTCCATGCGACAAGCAAATAGAGTCATCAAGCAAAGTTACAAGGTCAAATCTGTCAAGAAGAGATCTCACTCACAGCACAGAACAGAACAGTCTGGGAACATTCCAGGTAGAACAAAACCATCTCTATGGCGATAAGGAGAAAAGTTACAAAGTGCTCCTTTAACTGGTTTACAAAAAGATTAGATTAGATTTAGATTTATTGTCATTGTACAAAATACAACGAAACTTCGACAGAGCAAATCTGTAGCAGTAAAAATGAATAAATATAGACACATTCTCACATCCTTACCAATAAAAACATTAAATAAATAAAGAGATTATAGCACTGAGTCCCTCCAGGCCTTTTATCTGTGCCTGCGCTCCTGGAGCACGTCCACTGAAAAATGGTCTCAGAACTGTAGTATAGTTATCCCCGCAGGTATACAGAGGGATCTATGCAAAGAGAACAAAAATATATAAACCATTATCCTTTTGTTACTGTTTGTTGATCATTTCTATTGTAGCTTCAAGCTGTTTGCAGTTTGTTCTTTTAAATTGTGCTTCATTTTACAAATAATATAAATCTAGTTATTCATCACAACAATAGAATGTTTGGGAACAAAAATTTTGGACTTTTTTGAGTAATAACCTGAAGAAATAAATAAATACACAGTTTTACTCTGAATTTACTCTGAAAATTAGAGCTGCAACTATTAATCCACTTATCGTGACTAGACAGTGTAGTGTATTCTGATAAATGTAATCATCATTTTGAATATACAAACTCAAAAATACATATGAAAATATATTTTATAACAAAACCAGTGGGATTGTCAAAATAAAATGTCCAAAATGATCATTAATAACTATCACTTTATTTAGAAATATTCTTAATTTAGAAGGTGTTTAGGTGTCAAATAAGACATAATTATATAAATGTAAATGTGCAAGTAAAAATAAAAATAGAAAGATAAGCAATAAAATACAAAAATCACAGCTTTACACAAGAGGAAGACAACTTTATTACTTTATTTATAAATATTCTCAATTTAGAAGCCTTCAGTCGCCATTTCTCAACACTTATTTATTTAAAAATGTGTGTAAAGTCGATATGTACATTAGAAATAATCATGTGTCTAGTCAACTAATCGAAAAATAATCTCTTTTTATGTGTAAACGACATAATAACAGGGTTTTAAAGTAAAGCCTAGTTTAGAATAATATTATAAAAAGGAAATGCATTTAAACTTAACAACTTCTCCAAACAATATCAGTATTCTGACCAAGTCCAAGTCATTAAAACTCATTTCATATTCTCTTTATACAGTGTGACTCATCCCTGGGAGCATCACTAACTCTCGTCTCCTCCTGTCGCCTCCTTCTGGCTGTTCGCTGAATCAATAATCTTTGATCAATCATGTACGACTAATTGTTTTCCTGTTGTTCATTTCCGTCTCCGTCTTCGTTATCCCACCGTCATCTCACCGTTGCTTTTGCCTTTCATCATCCTCTGTTCCTCCACCGTACCCCTCCTCTCTCTCTCTCTCTCACGCGCTCTCTCTCTCTCTCTCTCTTTTTCTCTCTTCACTTTCTTGTCGTCCTTTGAATTATCTCAAATTCAAAGAGAAGCCAGCGCACGTAACTGTGTCTCTGTCCTCCGCAGGTTCTACGCAGCCGAGATCGCCGTGGGCCTCTTCTTCCTCCACAGTAAAGGAATCATCTACAGGTGAGAGAAGAAGAAGAGAAAGAAAGAATGAGAATGAAAGAGAGGAGAGGGAGAAAGAGAGACACTGAGAAAAGAGAGAGAGAGAAATAGGAGAGTGACAGAGCGTGAGAGAGAAGGGAGAGAGATAAAAGGGAGAGAGAGACAGAGAGAAAGAGAGAGATACATAGAGGGAAACAGAGCGGGGGCGAGAGAAAGAGAAACAGAAGCGAGACAAAGAGGGAGGGAGAGGGAGAAAGACAGAGAAATGGGAGAGAGAGAAAGAGAGGGAGACAGAGAGAGGGAGAGAATGGCAAAGAGAGAGAGGAGGGAGAGACATTGAGAAGAGGGAGAGAAATCGGAGAGTGACAGAGAGAGAAGGGAGAGACAGAGAGAGGGAGACAGAGAGAGAGAGACAGAGAGGGAGACAGAGAGAGAGAGACAGAGAGGGAGACAGAGAGAGAGAGACAGAGAGAGAGAGACAGAGAGAGAGAGAGAGGGAGACAGAGAGAGAGAGAGAGGGAGACAGAAAGAGGGAGACAGAGAGAGAGACAGAGAGAGGGAGACAGAAAGAGGGAGACAGAGAGAGGGAGACAGAGAGAGAGAGAGAGCAGAGAGAGAGGGAGACAGAGAGAGGGAGACAGAGAGAGAGGGAGACAGAGAGAGGGAGACAGAGAGAGAGAGACAGAGAGAGAGACATTGAGAATAGAGAGAGAAATAGGAGAGTGGCTGAGAGGGAGAGGGAGAGAGAGAAATGGGAGAGAGAGAGAGAGACAGAGAGAGGGAGGGAGAGAGAGACAGAGAGAAGGAGACATTGAGAAGAGAGAGACAGGGGAGTGACAAAGAGAGAGAGAGAGATGGGAGAGAGAGAGGCAGGGAGGGAAGGACAGAGAGGGAGAATGAAAAAGACAGAGAGGGGAGAGACATTGAGAACAGAGAGAGAGAGAGAGAAACAGGAGGGTGACAGAGAGGGAGACAGAAAGAGAAAAAGAGGGAGATAGAGAGAGAGAGAGACGGGAAGAGGGAAAGAGAGAGAATGAGAAAGCGAGACATTGAGAAGAGAGCGAGAGAAAAATAAGTGAGTGATGGAGAGAGAGAGAGAAGGGAGAGAGACAGAGGGAGGGAGAGAGACAGACCAAGAGAGGGAGACAGAATGAAAGGGAGAGAGAGAGAGAGAATGAGAAAGAGAGGGAGAGAGAGAATGAGAAAGAGAGTGACAGAGAGAGAGAGAGAGAGAAGGAAGAGAGACAGAAAAATGGGAGAGAGCCTGAGAGAGACAGAGAGAGGGAGGGAGAGATGCTTGAAAACACAGCCGTCTTTCCGAGGGGGTTCATCTTGTAAAGAGTTCAAAAACACACCATAAAATATATATATTGCTCAGAGATGTGTTCGCCAAGAAAGAAAGAAAGACAAGATTGTAAACAAGAGGAGCAGCGTGCACCAGCAGCAAAAGACAGGCACGCAACAATACTCATTATAATATCAAATACTTCAATACACTTTAACCCTTTGCAGTAAAGTACACACTTGTGACTGAAGGGTAAAAGTCTGAAATATTTGAACAGAGAGGATACATAATGCGACTGAATAAGAAATCCACTGAAAACTAACATTAAAAATCTATCTCCTGAGGCCTAAACATATCAAAAATTGTATCGATATCACGCCCCCGAGTATCGTACAGAACTTATTGAAATTTTGAGAAGGCTAAACAGTTGCATTGGTAACTTTTCTCGCCAAAATAAACCTCAAATGTTTCAAGGTTTCATAGCGAGTTTAGTTCACTTTTCACATCAGTTTAATCCTCAGTTTTATCCTCATTTATAATTTGGTTTAAATGGTGTATTTAATGAACGAACGTGTCAAGTAGATTATCAAAAATATCAGTAATCATAAACGGATGTCTGATCATCTGTATTCACGGGGATTAAAAGTGTGTCTGACAAGAAAACGTTTTCAACTTTTAAAAGAGACATATTATGCCAAACTTTTATGAGCTTTTAACCATGTTATGATGTTTCTTACTCGGCTTGATAAAAAATGTTGCATAACCATTTTTCTCAAAACACTATAAATTTAAATGTGCTGCTAAGAAGTGGAGCGCTCGTGTTATTAAGCCCATTTTGATCAATGTCGCTGTTTACAAAGAATAACATGTAAAAATAATTATATACGTTTAATAATAATACCAGCAAATTAAGTCCTGAGCTAGTCCCAGTTTAGTCCTGGTTTTGTCCTGGTCTAGTCCTGGTCTAGTTCTGGTCTAGTTCTGGTCTCACTCTGGTCTAGTACTAGTCTAGTCCTGGTCTAGTCCTGGTCTAGCCCTAGTCTCGTTCTGGTCTAGTCCTGGTCATGTTCTGGTCTAGTCCTGGTCTAGTTCAGGTCTAATTCTGGTCTAGTCCTGGTCTCCTCCTGGTCTTGTTCTGGTCTAGTTCTGTAAATATACAAGTTAGTTCTGATATAGTCCTGGTCTACTTCTGGTCTCGTTCTGGTCTAGTTCTGGTCTAGTCCTGGTCTAGTCCTGGTCTCATTCCAGACTAGTTCTGGTCTAGTCCTGGTCTAGTCCTGGTCTAGTCCTGGTCTCGTTCTGGTCTAGTCCTGGTCTAGTACTAGTCGAGTCCTGTCCAATCCTGGTCTAATCCTGGTCTCGTTCTGGTCTAGTACTAGTCTAGTCCTGGTCTTGTCCTGGTCTTGTCCTGGTCTAGTCCTAGTCTAGTCCTAGTGTCGTCCTGGTCTTGTTCTGGTCTAGTTCTTGTCTAGTCCTGGTCTAATACTGATCTAGTCCTAGTCTAGTCCTGTCTAGTCCTGGTCTAGTCCAGGTCTAGTCCAGGTCTTGTCCTAGTCTAATCCAGGTCTTGTCCTGGTCTTGTCCTGGTCTAGTCCTGGTCTAGTCCTGATGTAGTCCTGATCTAGTCTTAGTCTAGTGCTGGTCTAGTTCTGGTCTCGTTCTGGTCTCATTCTGGTCTTGTTCTGGTGTAGTTCTGGTCCAGTCCTAGTCAAGTCCTAGTCTAGTCTTAGTGTAGTGCTGTCTAGTCCTGGTCTAGTCCTGGTCTAGCTCTGGTCTAGTTTTTCTCCTTTTGGATGTTTTTATCGCACTGAAAAACATGCAGTGTTACTATGTGCTTGCATCTCCACAAACCCGACTCTTCCTTGGTCTGAAGGAGAGACTTTTCCTATTTATAGAAATGTTTCTTTATCTGAAATATTCCGCAGTCGCCATAAAATATGTCTATCTGCGCGGAGAGTGTTCCAAAGTATGATTTTAACTTTCTATTTCAGTTTTGCGTTTGACATTTACAAACATGTCAACATTTGGAGGATATTTTATGCAGCTCCTTCTCATCCGACTGCGGACGACACCGATTTATCATTTCTGTTGTGACTTCTGCTCAATATAAAACGTGTATCCATCAAAGTGACTGATGCCGTGTGCTGCGTGTGCTCTCAGGGATCTGAAGCTGGATAACGTGCTGCTGGACAGTGAGGGACACATAAAGATCGCTGACTTCGGCATGTGCAGGGAGGGCATGTTTGAGGGGGACACCACGAGGACCTTCTGTGGGACGCCTGATTACATCGCTCCAGAGGTACAATACACACACACCCACACACACACACACGCGCACACACACACACGCACACACACACACACACACCAGAGTCTTGTACGGGTCCATCAGAATATGAACTGAAAAATTACGACTTCAAGAATTACAGTCACGAAATGAAATGTGCTTTCTTCAGTACGAATACAAATGTCTAACTAATCCAGGACTAACCTAGGACTGATTCCAGGACTGATTCCAGGACTGATTCCAGGACTGATTCCAGGACTAAACCAGGACTGAACTAGGACTAAACCAGGACTGAACTAGGACTAAACCAGGGCTGATTCCAGGACTAAACAAGGACTAAACTAGGACTAAACCAAGACTAAACCAGGACTAACACAGGACTGATTCCAGGACTGTACCAAGACTAAACTAGGACTGAACTAGGACTAAACCAGGACTAAGCCACTGAACTAGGACTGTACCAGGACTAAACCAGGACTAAACCAGGGCTGATTCCAAGACTGTACCAGGACTAAACCAGGACTAAACTAGGACTAACCCAGGACTGATTCCAGGACTAAACCAGGACTGAACTAGGACTAAACCAAGACTAATTAAAGACTAAACCAGGACTAAACCAGGATTAACTCAGGACTAACCCAGGACTGATTCCAGGATTGATTCCAGGACTGTACCAAGACTAAACCAGGACTGAACTAGGACTAACCCAGGACTAACCCAGGACTGATTCCAGGACTAAACCAGGACTGAACTAGGATTAACCAGGACTAAACCAGGACTAAACCAGGACTAAACCAGGACTGAACTAGGACTGACCTAGGACTGTACCAGGACTAAACCAGGACTGATTCCAGGACTGTACCAGGACTAAACCAAAACTGAACCAGGACTCACTGTCGGGACAGATCCGCAGATCCGTCGAGTGACCACAGGTGAAAGAACCGGAGGTAAGTGCTGCGTTTTGCGGACACGGGCTCGGGGTTCTCCCTCTCTTTTAAGTCCAAGATTAGTTCTGGTGTAGTCCTGGTTTAGACCTGGCTTAGTACTGACCCGCCCGTGTGTAATCACTACCCGCCTGTAAAATTCTAGAACGTTATAACCCACCCGTTTCAGGAACTATTTGCCCGAACCCATCGACCTGGTGCAGGACTCTGACACACACACACACACACACACCTACACACACGCAAATACCCCGATGCCCTTTCCGTTTGTAGTCCTGTGCGGGCTAATCCAGTCTCCTGTATGCTGACCCGCTCCTCCTCTGGCCTCCGTGTGCCCACCCCCCACTCGTTTGCTTGACCCCATTACGCGTTGGTACACGGCCCCCCGCTCGCTCGCCCTGTGTAACCTTGTCAGCATTTTTGAGTAATTAACTGCATATGATTCTATTAGCGGCTGTTTATAGGAGGAATTTAAAAAGGCCTTAGGGGGTCCGTGCTGGAAGAGAGCACTGTAAAAAAAGGCACACACAGAAGCACGGGTTGTAAATTCAGAATCTTTATTTAAAACTCATTTGAAGATTATTATTGTTATTACTTTAAATGCACTGCGGCGTGATATAAAACCCAGAACCTCAAAGTCATTTAACAATTTGACATTTTTTGCCATGTCACAATTGGTTCGTCTGCAGACTGTAAAAATTCAACCTGGAAAAACTCAAGGACACAAAGAGAAAATATTAGTACATACGCTTTCTGGAATGAGACGACATTAGCAGAAGACTTTGCAATGACAAGCAAGGTCTTTCACCAGGGGCCTGGACACTGGAGTTGGTGAAGGGGAAGATGAGAGGAGCTGAAAAGCGAAGGGGACAATGAGAGGATGAGGAAAGTGAAAAGGATGAGGAAAGGATGAGGAGAGCGAAGGGGACGAAGAGAGGATGATTAGAACGAAGACGACGATGAGAGGATGAGAAGAACAAATTGGGCGACAAGAGGATGAGGAGAGCGAAGAGGATGATTAGATTCGGATGAGGAGAAAGTGAAGGGGATGATGAGAGGATGAGGAGAGTGAAAGGAATGATGAGACGATGAGAAGAGAGTGAAGGGGATGATGAGAGAATGAGAGGAGCGAAGGGGACGATGAGACTCGGATGAGGAGAGTGAAGGGGTTGATGAGAGGATGAGGGGAGAGCGAAGGGGACGATGAGACTCAGACGAGGAGATAGCGAAGGAGACGATGAGACTCGGATGAGGAGAGAATGAAGGGGGGCGAAGAGACTCTGATGAGAAGAGCGCTGGGGATGATGAGAAGATGAACAGAGTGAATTGAACGATGAGAGGATGAGGAGAGTGAAGGGAATGATGAGACTTGGATGAGGAGCTAGTGAAGGGGACGATGAGAGGATGAGGAGAGTGAAGGGGACGATGAGACTCGAATGAGGACAGAGTGAAGGGGACGATGAGACGATGAGGAGAGCGTGAAGAGGACGATGAGACGATGAGGAGAGCGCAGGGGACAATGACATTCGGATGAGGAGAGAGTGAAGGGGACAATGAGAGGATGAGGAGAGTGAAGAGGATGATGAGACTCGGATGAGGAGATAGTGAAGGGGACGATGAGAGGATGAGGAAAGTGAAGGGGACAATGAGAGGATGAGGAGAGCGAAGGGGACGATGAGAGGATGATGACAGCAAAGGGGACGATGAGACGTGGAGAGTGAAGGGATTGATGAGAGGATGAGGAGTTGTGGTGAGTATTTGGATTGAGGTGATGAAAGCTGAGGAGCAGGAGTTTGGTCTTCCAAGCTCCATTTGTAAATCACACCTCAAGCAAAATTACTTAAATTCAGAATATTAATACTGATTTGAGTTTTGTAGCTCATTTCCATCTAGTTACAATATAATTTACTTTGAAATAACTAATTTAAAACAGAGGAAAATGCTTTTTCTTACCTCATTAGCATATAATTTGTCAAGAAATAAGAAGTACTGTGTAGAAACAAGTCAGAAACCTCTTGAAACTACTTAAAATAATCTCACTTCATTAAGAAAAACAACATTTTATCTGGTCAACACTCCTCAAGAATGTTTGACTCATTTTTGCAGTGCATCACATCTTATCAATGCAGCGCGCGCTCCCTCTAACCACTGTATTATTATTATTATTATTATTATTCGACAGAGCCGACTGTTAGATCTCTCAGTATTGAATTTGACACGGCCTCTCATTGCTCACTGAATAGTTAATTATCTTGAGTGTAATTCCTCCTGAAGCGAAGAAACAGGTATAGTGTGTGTACAGTTCCAGGTTTGTATCAGGCAGACAGGATGAGCAGATGTGGCTGTTGAACTCATCTTTGATTCGGTAAACCTTTGTGTGGAACCCCTGGGTATTGAGCCGGTTATGTAAACACTCATTGATTCTGCTGCAGCTGCCATTTTGGAAGAGATACAATATGTTTCCCCTGCAGCTCCTCTGCTCCCGATCTCACACTGTCTGGGTTCAGTGTCAAATCCATCCACTTGTGTTTGGAGATTACTCACTTTTATTTATTTATACTACACTGCAAAACATATGTATGATTTTGATTTAAAAAAGGTCTTCAGAATACTAATATTAAGTAATTATAGGGATGTAACTATATTCGAATCTCTCAATACGATATTATCATGATATGCATCTCACGGTACGATATTTATTGCAATATTTTGGAGAGACTAACATAACTGTACATAGGACACTTTTTTTGCTTTTAAAATACCGTATTTTCCACACTATAGGGCGCTCTGGATTATAAGGCGTCATTAAATGGTCAATTTTCGAACTTTTTTCACATATAAACCACACGGGACTATAAGGCGCATTAAACGAAACACAACAGTGTGATGAGTGTGGCTGCGGGTGTTTTTCGCTGTGCGGTCGCTGTCTGCTCAGTGCGTGTTTGCGTGTGCTGCGGGTGGTGCGGCTTTGTAATTTACTGAAGTCGTGCTGGGACATCCGAGTGGATTCGTGTATAGGGCGCTCTTGGATTGTGGGGCGCACAGTCGTTTTTTTGATGGGGTCTGTGGCTTATGAGTGCGCCCTATATTGCGGAAAATACAGGTACCTTGACAAGATTTCTTGGAATCATAATCCCAAATTCAAGTAAAAACATATTTCTTCATGTTGTCTGAGCTGAAATGAAACATGGGATATGTAGTTTCTAGGGGTGTAACAATATCCAAGTGTCACGATACAATACAATCGTCACGTGTGAATCTCACTGTACGATATTTATTGCGATATCGTGGGAAAGGTCACGATATGGTGGGGGATTAGGGATGGTGTGGGGTTAGGGATGTAACAATATATTTTCATGATATACATCTCACAGTACAATGTTTATTGCGATATTTTGTGGAGGCTAAACAGCTAAAAATGTTCATATAAGACTTAATCCAAAGAGCTAAGACTTAAAGTGCTTAAAACTGTTATTTCTTCTTATAGTTTACATTGAAATGGAGCAAAGGATCATGATCTATGTAGTTCCCTCTGTCTTTTTTTAGCTATTGCTGCACCATAACTCTTAATTTAAGCAAAGAGACTTGTAATTCGATATATTGTGATGGGCCGTGATATTATTGTGAGAATTTAGATGATACAATATCACGATATTTCGGTTATTGTTACATCCCTACTAGATTATTTTAGTCATATACTTGTTTAAATAGATTGCTTTTCATTTCAAGTTTTATTATTTGTCAAAACTGAGGCACTAATAGCATTTAGGTCTATTGATTTCTCATTTTCTTATCTTTAAAGATGTAGATGTAGCTTTTTCTGTTGGCAATCTGTCTCCATAGATTTTTTTTTTTTGCAGTCATATCAATATTGCATTCCTTCAGCTGCATTTATTGCTCAAAAAGTACTTTTAAAAAAATAAGCATTTTTACTGTCAATGGACTATCCTTTCCTCTGCCAGAAAAGTTACACAGTGCGCCTTTAAACTTGCCTGAGATCCGCAATATTCGATGTTCAGATGAGCATGACTAGCAGATGGATTCCCAAATCAGCGACATGCACGGTTTGTCCGTATCAAAACAAATATGGCTGCTCAGAAGGAAAAAAGAAACAAATAAGTAAATAAACTAAATAAATCACAGAGGACTGAAAAACATCACAGATTTCTACAGAATCAATGAGCGAAGCAGCGAGAGGGAGGGATGACCAGACTGATATGCCTCTGTACAAAAAACACAGACAGACATCATTGTGGAGAAGCTTTTAACCGGCCATATCGTCTGAAATACTGAAAATATTTTGAATTCATTTTAGCCGTGTTAGATAAGCTCTTTTTGCAGTGTACTAATATTGAATCTGTAGTGTGGAAGCCTCGGCCTGTCTGATAGCTGCGTGTCATTGTAGCACTCCTCTTTCACTCCTCTTATCTTCACTCTTTCTCATTCTTTACTTTTATCTTGTGTCTCTCTCCTCTTTGTCTTTCACTCCAGATTGTGGCGTATCAGCCGTATAACAAAGCTGTGGACTGGTGGTCATATGGAGTTCTGCTGTATGAGATGCTGGCGGGTCAGGTAAGTTTGCTCTCTCAATAGAAACAATAATTAAAGCTGCACTATGTAACCTTTTGTGTATAGGGTCCACTGGATGCTTGTGTCCATTCGGGTTGGATGGTAATACGGTATTACGGTATACTGCGGTATCAAAAAGTAGCAACGGTATCAGTTTCATTACAAAAAATTTAATTTCATTAAAAAAATCTGCAGCTCATAAGGACCCAATATAATATTATAATTTATTAATACCTACATTTGTTTGCTCAGCACGAATGAATATGACGATTTAAAACGAATAATGTTTCTTTTAACTGCGTGGGGAGACAACTTTCAGTTAGTTTCGTTCTGTTGTCATGTGACAGCACATAACAAAGACCAAGACAAGACAGCAAGTCCGGCCACAAGCGACTTGGTCCCCCCCCAAAAAAATACTAATTCTTCTGCAATTTGGCAGCATTTTGGCTTCAGGTGCACATTTGTTTACATTTTACAGAAACAAAACTTAAAACCACATGGCTCATTTGCATAAACTATAAAGCGCTGATAAAAAAGCTCTTCCCCTGTGCGCTGATGCGGTTCAGCTTCTGTCAGACTAAAGGACACGACTCAGTGAAATATGAGTGTTCTTTCTGCGACAGAGGATGTGCTGCTGATGATGAGTCTGTTCTGTGCGTGTATCGCGTTGGAGATGATTCATGTGAAAAGATTCTAAGTCTGTAGGTCACACGCATAGACCGTACAGTGGTGCGGCCCGTAGCTTACCAAAGTCGTATTAAAACATTTTGGTAATATGGTAATACTGTATACTGTGGTGAAATGTTAAGAAGGTTTAACGGTATCAAAATTTGGATACCACTCAACCCTAGTCTCCATGGAGATGCTTTATTTCGCTATAAATTGCTTAAAAATACCTTTAAAACATGCATTCTTTCTGTTGGCAGGTTGGCCTCTCCACAGATCTGACCTGTAACTTGGCCTATTTGTGCTATCTTCTTTTCACGAATATAGATAAGCGTAATACCATACTGCAGAACATGCCAGGAAAAGCAATAAATCTCCATGGAGACGGACCCCAGAAGAGTTACATGGTGCATTTTGAAAAGACGGCCTTAAAACAATATTTACATGAGTTAAAATGGCACAACAAAAAATTCTGACAAATATAACACCGCCCTGAGTGACTAGTAAGTACAGAAGACAGAAAATAGGTGCAGTGTGCCTTTGGTCAGGTGTTTTTTTTTTTTTTTTTGTTTTTTTTTTTTTTACTTTGATTTTCTTTATTTTCTTAAACCTGAGCATTTACCAAGATCAAATTTGTACATGTGAATGCCTGCTCTGCGTGTCAGTGTGTGCCTCCAATGAGATGTTCAATGTGCAAACAAATGATTAATACTGGTAAACCCAACATCAAATATTTGCTTTTACATCCTTTGTTCCTTGTCAATACTCTTCAGATGTCAGCTAAAAAAAAGAAAGAAAGAAAGAAGGAAAGATGTGAGCACGACATGGGGATAAAAACATTCAGCAAATTGTTGTAAGTGAGAATTGATTTGACGACGCTGAGAGCGACGCAGAGCCCGGCTTATGTGCTGCAGCTTCAAACACTAGACTGCGTGACTGCTCGGGAAAATCTTCAGTCTGTAGAGTCACATTTGTTGACTCATCAAGTGCACTTTTCATTCCCCATGGACAGATTTGTATTTATGTTTTATAGAAATTAGCTAAAACAGTGCTGATATCAGTCTGAAATACCTCAAAACCCTCATCTATGCAAGTCAAACAAAATTAAACGTCCTGTATTACACAAAATGGATTCTTGTGAGCTATAAGCCATGTTATAATGTTGTTACCTCATCACAAACAAAGCTGGAGTTGTGTTTTGTTTCATTCACACATGTTTAACACACAAAGCCTGAGTATTTAGGCTGTGTTCTTTTCTCAAACTGAATGTGGTAATACAGGAAGTGCTCCACTGTGTTTTTAAACTCCACACACCTTCACTAGAATCATTTGGATAATTTCAGAGTTGGAATTGCCAATTACTACTAAACAAAAGGTAAAAGGTAGCTGTTAACTTGAAAACTACCAATTCATGACATCACAAGGTGGAACAGGGCATTTTGAGCTTTGGACAGGTACACAGACTAATAATAAAGTATTACTCAAATACGTGTCATTGAAACAAAACACAACTCCAGGTCTGTTTTTGATGAGGTAACAACATTATAACATCGCTAAAAGCTCACTAAAGTCAAAGTTGCACAGTATAGGACAGACCTGGGCATTGTACAGCTCTCCGGCCATATATGGTTGCCTGATTCATCAGGCAGTTTCACTTCATGGAAACCGTCTGACCTCGTAGCATTAGGATCTGTTTGCTCAATGGTAGGCGGGTACTTTTTTTAATTTAACCAGTCTCTGCTATTTGGTAGTTACATATGTAATGCACTGCTAACGGGACTAACTGGTATATTCCCAAATCCTGTAGGAAGAAGGGTAATAACGTCTTTCCCCTTGATAAAATTCACCAAACATTCTCTTTGTTTTGTCGTGGTTTACATTTTATAATACCCAATGTATCTTCTCACCTGACTGTGATGCTTCCTGCGTTGGTGTGGAGTGTTTAGAGAAGAATCCAAAAAGAAGCTCTGATAGTGTAATACTATTTATTACAAAAAACAGAGTAAAAAGCCAAATTACAGACAAAGGTCCGGGCGAGCTCTGGCCAATATGAGAGACACCTCTAAATCAGATATTCTCAGATTTTATAGTTTCTATAAGCCATCCCCTTTCGCAACCTGATTACTTATTGTCCAAGGGTTTAAGCATTTCCAGATGTTGCCTATATGTTTATCTTACAGTTCTTGGAATATGGACCCCCTGAACTTAACTCTTCCATATATTAAGACCTTATAGGGAGCTACGAGGCTCAAAGGCCTCAAATGGAGAATATCAGACACCACAGTTTTGGCTTTAAATCCTCAATCTTGGGAATAGTTGCCAACACAGAATGTATGGCTCTTCGCTGATTGACTGGTGCCTGGACTTGCACTTCCGGGGTTGTTGCAAACCATCAAGTGTATTCGGATTCCTGACCTCGCTGGAGAGAAATGAAATTGAGCGGAGGCACTAGGTGGCACCAGCCTGGCTACACATACGGCCCGTTGACTCTGACCGGCCCGATTGAGATTTTATAATTTTACCTCATGCATGGACTAAAGCTGCATTGCTTTTAATTTAGAGGTGTTTTTTTAAATGACATTTTTTGTAAGGCAACCTCACTTTTGTCATAACATCAACTCTTACCAGTATTATCAGCTCATCAAAACAATCCTATTTACTGCTTTTTATAAAGACATACAATTAATATTATGCAGAACTGAGTTAAGCATTTTGGCCCTCCACAATATTTTCTGTTTCTCATGTGTCCCCATGGAAAAAATAATTGCCCACCCCTGGACCCTTAAACAGACACAACACCAGCATAATTTCTTGTTGTTTTTAAGATTTGATGAGACATCGTGTATAGTCCCAGTATACAGTTGTACGATGTAATTTTCTGTCTGTAAACCCCCAGCCTCCGTTTGATGGCATAGACGAGGAGGAGCTGTTCCAGTCCATCATGGAGCAGAGTGTCTCGTATCCTAAAAGTCTGTCACGTGAAGCTGTGGCCATCTGCAAAGGAGTGAGTTCATTCTGTCTATTCACACGTATAAAAATACATACAAACACATACCCCAGAGCTGCAGAGCATTTTCTTTGCCAAACTTTTAATAAATGCCAGCAGCTTGTCAGATTCTCTCAGCATTAGCCAAGTGCAAACACGGAGAGAGAGAAAAAGAATATTTGTTTTGAAAGTGACTGAATTAAATATTTAAGGGGTTGTTTTTCCATGTATTTGAGCAAAATCTTTCTTGCCAGAGTAGATTGTATCGTGAGGTCAAAATAAGTCAGCTTACTACATGATGTCTGAGTGTAATTATAAAGCATTATATTTTCTGACAATCAGGCAGTGCACATTAACATGCTAGTTGTGGTGAAATTTCTTCTGGCCTCCGAAAGTTGTGAAAAGCACTTATAAATAGTTTAAAATCAGCTAGTTTTGTTTTTCACAGTATAATGTGCTCTGCAAAAGACAAAATATTTGGAAAAATCTGCAAACAACTCCATATTTTTGTTCATTTATATATACAATCTATAATTCATACCTTTACAAAATATGTTCTGCTTCTTTTATTCGTTTAACAGTTCGTATTTTAGTCTTCTGTCTGATTTTTTTGGCCCTGGACTTGTTTGTGCACTGTGAACTGAATCCTGACTTGAAATCCTAAATTGAAATCTTCTCAAAATTGCAATTCTTGTCAGAAAAATTGGAATCAGATTCACAAATTTGTTTCCCAAACTTTTCCTGACCTTATTCTTTTAGTTTGAAATAAAACGAGAAAGCAGCTCTGCCATGGGTACAAAAAGTAATTTGTTAGATGTTCATAATACTAAATTAGATTGACTATTTAAAAAAAAAGATAATTACAATCCACAAATCTGTTTTCACAAAATAATTCTTCACTTCTGATTATGTTTAAAACTGCGTGAATTGTGTGGTCCTCTGTGTTTTTAATTAAATTTCACTGGCTTATTGCTCTAAGACTAGTACGATTAATCTGATTCTTTTTGTTTATTTTATTATTTCTATTATCATTGTTAAGTGGATTATGTTTTTGTTTTCTGTTTTGGCTCAGCTCTTGACCAAGCACCCGGCCAAACGTCTGGGGGGAGGAGAGGACGGAGAGAGGGACATCCGCGAGCACCTGTTCTTCCGATGGGTGGACTGGGACCGACTGGAGAGGCTGGAGATCCCGCCCCCTTTCAAGCCCAGAGCTGTCAGTCAAACTCACTCTCTGATGCACACCACACTGCCAAAATGTAGTCTTGATTATACTAACTTGAATTCAGAATATTCAAGTTATTTTGCAAGGTTAGATTTAAAGGTTTTACACAAAATGGACGTTTTAAACCGTGTACAATGTTGGTCATCGAAAACATACCGAGAGTTGTGTTTTGTTTCATTCACACATGTTTTAAGTAATCCTATTTATTATTTTATATACCTGTCTACATCTCCAAAGCTTAAAATGCCTTATTCCACCTTGTGATGTCATGACGCAGTAGTTTTCAAGTTTACAGCTACTTTTACTTTTAGTTTAGTAGAGATTGGCAATTCCAAGACTGAAACCATCCAAATGATTCTACTGAAGGTGCAGAGGTGAGGCACTCCCTGTATTACCCACAGACTGTACATATAAATGAATTTAACTAACACTCTAGCCACAGAGTTCCAAATAGGACGTGAGCTTGGGGGCACCTGTGGCTCCTTCTGATCCTGGCTGCCTTTGACTTACATTGGAATGTTACTCTGCTGCAGTGAGCCGATTTATTTTGGGGTTAAAATGTTCGTATTTATCCGCTCTACATTACATATGCTATGGCTGATGTCACACTCGCTTAGTCCACTGTAGAGGTCTGCATGGGACAGAATTTTCACTCTCGCTCCTGCCCACACCCACATTGTGCAGCCCTGCTCCGTCCCACTTCCGCAAGATGGGGATGTTCGCTTTCTTAAGCTCTATCAAACACGGAGAAGCGGAAAGGAATTGTCTTAATGTGTGCAAGATTAGTCTACGTCCGTAAATTTAGGCTTCTTAAAATGTTTTTACTGATGCCAAATAAAATATCCACCTTAAATTATGTATGATAGGTAGGAGTGTAACAATATCCAAGTCTCATGATATGATATTGTCATGGTATGAACCTCACAGTAAAATATTTATTGTGATATCGTGGGAAAGATCACGATATGGTGGGGAGGCTCACGATTAGGGATGTAAAATCTCTCGATACGATATTTTCACAATATACATCTCAGGGTTTGATATTTATTTTATTTCTTCATGTAGTCTACACTGAAATGGAGCAATGGTCTTTTTTTTTAGCTATTGCTGCACCATAACTTTTAATTTAAGCAAAAAGACTTGTAATTCGATATATTGTGATGGTCCACGATGTTATTGTGAGAACTTTGACAATGTAACATCCCTAATGATAGGCCTACATCAGTTATTTGTGTATTTTACTTTACTCCCATATTTAGTTTGTGGGACTACAGTTTATCATCTCACCCGCATTGTGCAGTCCCGCTCCCGCAATGAGCTTTCAAACTGTGTCCCCCGCTGCACTGTTTTGCGTTGGGTCCCACAGGTGCAGGGCTCCATTTTTTTTTTTTTTTTGGTTAAAATGTTCGGATTAACCCACTCTATATTACATATGCTATGGCTTATGTCACACTCGCTTAGTCCACTGCTTTATACAGTTTATAGTATTACCACACGACATCACAGAGTGGAACAGGGTGTTTTCTGTTTGAGAGAAGAACTCAGCCTAAATATGCAGGTTTGTGTGTTAAACATGTGTGAATAAAACAAAACACAACTTCAGTTATGTCTGTGATGAGGAAATAACATTATAACATTGATCAGAATATAGCGTAATATGAGCCTTTTAATGTGATGTAGGATATTTCTCTAGTTACAAGGCATTTCAGGCAAGATAATTTAGCTCGAAATTGAAAATTGAATTAAGACTTAAAACTCTCTGGAGCCAGGACTCCCCAGAAAAAGAGATTCTTAATCTCCCTTGCATTATCCTGGTAAATTAGGCTTTAAATAGGAAATAATGTATTGAAACAAGTCATTTTTGAAGTAAAATAATCTAGGTCAAACAAAAAAATCCATATTAAAGCCCCAGAGTGTCCTGGTGGAGATTCTAATAGAAGTTCTAGCTTTGCCTGAAATGTTCCACAGTATTCCATGAAACTTATCCATCTCTTTTGGGCCTGTTTTGCTGATTTTCCTACTTCCATGAACATAAAAATTGCTGCTTTAATTAGTCAAAACCACTGGAATTAATATTCATATTCTGAAGTTAAGTAATTGTTTTGCTCGTCTAGATAGTGCTGTATGTTGTTATGTGTCGTTATCTATTGTGTTTGTATAAATAACAATACAATTTCTGTTGATCTGCGTAGTCTCACAACTTTACTGCAACATGCGAGCTGTCACTATTCTGCCTCATATCTCAAATACCTTAAATTTTTCCTTATTTTCGACAGCTAGTGCAAATAATGACTGTACACACTGTATGTTTGGTAGGTTCCAGGCAATTAGAAGGAAACTAGGAGTAAAAAGTCTAGTGCCTAAGGGCCTGAAGCTGTGACTCAAACCAAGGCCGGCGGTTTGATGTGGAATGTACTAATGATCACATCTGTAGTTTCTTAAGGAATCCACAGAGCACACTCTTTCATGTGTTCAATTATGAAGTCAGTGCACCTCGCTCTGGGTCAATCAATATGTGATGCTATGTTTTTTACTTTACATTTATTGATAGTTGAAGTGAATCTTGTTCATGCTGCAACATCACCTGACATTCCTCTACCTATTTTCTGAAGATGTTCTGTACATTGCAACATCACTTCAAACGTCTTGAATCTAATATTAATAATAATTTGAGAAGTTTTGACTAGTTGGGATTAATCCACTTGAACCTCACTGAGGTTTCAATTTCAGTGACCTTTTTGAATAAATTGCACCTTATTTCCTGGGCTCCTTCTAAAGCTTTTTTTTTTTTTTTTTTTTTTTTAATGTGACCTTGTCTCTACAGAGCAGGGGGTCTCCAATTTTCTTCCTTAGGTGAACTACTTTTAGTTTTACTTACTTTTAACAAAAATGCTACTAGTTTTAACGGTCAAAAGAAACTTAGAACATAGAAGAGACACGTCAAACCTTAAATGAAGTACAGTTAGATGCCAATAAAACATAAACCATTATTCATTTATTAGTGCACAAAGTTAGGCATCAAAATGGTACATGTACAATGGTTAAATGCATTTAATTAATCAAATTCTACTTATTTAGCACAATACATGTAACTCAGAAATCTTTTGGCGAGCTACTTGGGAGGGGGTGGAGAGCTATTGATAGCTCCCGAAGCTGCTATAGAGGAATTGGTTAACCTTGAATGTTCTAGCCAGGCTGGCGCCACCTAGTGCTTCTGCTCAAATTCATTTCTCTCCAGAGACTAGGTCAGGAATCGGAATACACTAGATGGTTCACAAAAGCCCCGGAGGTGTGAGTCCAGGTACCAGCCAATCAGCAAAGAGTCATACATTCTGTGTTGGCAACAATTCCCAAGATGGAGGATTTAAAGCCGGAACAAAGAGAATGTTCAGTGAATTTTATCAAGGCGAAAGACGTTATTGCCCTTCTACCTACGGGATTTGGAAATATTCATATATATATATATATATATATATATATATATATATATATATATATATATATATATATATATATATAGAGTTAGTTAGTTAGTTACCCGTGAGCGGCACATTACATACGTCACAACCAAATAGCAGCGATTGGTAAAATAAAAAAAAGTGTGTCATAAAATGTCATGTACAGGCTTTTTTTTCAAAACAGCTTGACAAACATGCATTCCTGAGTGGGACTGATTCTCCATAGTTCTGACAGGTAACTTGACTTGATGGCAAAGAAGTGGGCTGAGGGAGCGTGAAGTCTCCCATAGCGTTCAGCTCCAATCAAATGAAGTTTACTTAACAAATCAGCAAACAGGACTTGAGTACACATATCCTACAATGTCTAACCATGGAGCAGAAGCTAAAAGAAAAAAACAAAGTGCCAGTGAAAGGTGACAGTGGGTCCATCTTACAATAACCAGTTAGAGGGACAAAATTGGAGCCAGGTTCCATACGAAGAATAGGAATTTATATACTTTCAAAACTGCAAAATAATAACACCAGGATCATGTAGAGCTGGTTAATATGAACATTTTAAGACTGAAATGAATGTAAAGTCAATTGGACCTTAACTTTGATGGAGCCGGAAGCGCGCTCCTGAACAAGTGGGTTAGCTATGTCCATTTCTATACTTGGTCTGCTTGTCTTCACGTATATAAATAAATGTAATGCCAAACTGTAAAACATTCTAAACCCTCCACCAGAAAAGTTACACAGTGTGCCTTTAAAGGTTAACATGAATATGCTAAATTTAAGTAACTTTGTCCAAGGGTAGAAATCCCCTTTTTGCAGTGTAACGCCACAGTCCAGTAGAGCAGGGCGGGAGTTGTGACCCTTGGGTGCTGTCTACTCCTCCCTATGCAAATTTGTGGCATCATTAGTCTCCCTTCTCCAGTCTGCGGTCTGTGGTGAGGTGTGCAGTGGGCGAGCCGAGTGAGCGCGGGGGTCAAAGGTCAGGCCTATTAACCAAATGAGATTCAGATCATTCAAAGGAGCGGCGTTGTGTCAGGGTGCGGTGAAGAGAGAGGAGGAGATGGATGCATGGAAGCCTTAAGGGAGAGGATTCATTAAAACTCTACTCTGGACTGTTTGTTGTGTCTTTAGGAAGCACTTTAATGATATGGGTAGAGCAGATTTAAGAAAAAGTATTGTATCTTAAAAATTTGGACTTAGACTTCAACAAACTTTATTGATTTGCAGTTAAAAATACTTCAGGTTTTACTTCTTCTCCCTCTTTGTCATTTTAAAAGGCCCATATTACACTATTTTCTGTTCTGTGTTATTTTATAATGTTGTTTCCACATCAATAACAGACCTGGAGTTGTGTTTTGTTTCATTCACAGATGTTGAATGCATTTTTAGGCTGAATTATTCTGTGTTTTTAAACTCCATACACCTTCACTAGACTCATTTGGATGAATTCTGCCGTCTAACTTGAAAACTACCGCTTCACGATATCACAAGGTGGAACAGAGCATGCAGACAGACTAATAATAAAGGATTACTGAAACGTGTGAATGAAACAAAACACAACTCCAGGTATGTTTTTGAGGAGGTAACAACATTATAACATTGCTTAAAGTAAATTTTGCATAATACAAGATCTTTCAACAATAACCGCAAAACCTTAAGTGAGAGCAAATAGAAATGTAACGAAATATCAGTGACATTTGTGGAATTTTGTACATTATATTCAGTGTTATAACAGTAACGAATTGCTGTAATGCATTGCTTTTTGCTGTAACGCAGTAATGTTTGGCATTACAGGGAAAAATGTTTTAATATTTTACTTGGTCCAAATGTTAGTATGCGCATTACAATGCATTTTTAACTTGGATTAAAGTGGTGGGTTTTTTGTTTTTCTTCATACAGATTTGCTAAAATCACCGTGATATCAGCAGCAAAAACGCCATCGCTATATTTCTGAATGTTGGGACGGGCCCGGAGGTGTGCCCTCGTAGACCATCGGGTAACCACTGGAGACAGGACTGGCATTGGTTTAGTCCTGGTTCAGTCCTGAATTCAGTCCTCAATTCAGTCCTGGTTTAGTCCTGGGTCAGCAGAGCCCAAAAGACTGGCATTTTCGTGTAATTATTTTGGTGAGAGTAACTTAAAAGTAATACAGTAGTCGTTTGAAATGACAGTAACAGGTCATAAATAAGGCATGACAGTTTTGAAGTAACTTGCCCAACAGTGATTATATTAAATCAAGCAGTCAAGAGATGTGAGACGTATATTGTGAAAATATTGTACTGTGAGATTTGGATATTGTTACATCCCTACAAATAAGTAATATAAATTAATTATGTTATAATAATTAAGTATGAAAAAATGAGTACAGAGGAACATTTTGGATAAGGTTTGGGAGAGGCTAAAATACATAAACAATAACTAACCCATGCTTAAGTGTGTCAATCATTACTTATTGTTTCTACATAAATTAAAATCAATGTTTATCTGAAAGTATCCAGTTTACTGATTGGTTAGTTTAATTCTTTTGTTGACTATTTTGTTGAACTCCCTTAAACATACACCTACAGAATACATTGTCCAAAAATCTAGACCTAATAAATAAATAAATTCCTCCTATAAACAAAAGAAATAATGAAGCCTCAGTTTCCCATTTGCAGTTTCACAGTGAACCTGATCTACCTGCAGGGGTGAGTCTAGACTATTTTTAGGGGAATATAATATTAGGCTTAACGATATTATTAGATTTGAAGTAAATATATTTTTTTCTTGGTTCATCAAATAGTTTTGCAAAGAAAGCACATCCCTGTTTTTCTTTGATGGGACCTGTGCGCTGTGCCTGATGTTACCTGCATGCTGAAAGGACCATCAAAGACTTAAAGATCATTTTGGATTCCATGAATATTTTGTGCACCCCTTAAGCTTAGTCAGTTTTTATTTTTTAAGTCACCGCTGCAAATGTGCAAAACTGTCAGCTGAATTCTGATCAAAGCAAAATAAAACATAAGATGAAGAGTCTCCCTACAGCGCATTAGGATTTGTTTTCCTGCGGGGGGGAGAAAATCTCAGAGTCGAGAACCCCCCCTGCCTATCTGGACTTATTTTATAGTGTCGTTTGGTGTTAGTTCATCAAATCTGTAAAATTATAACCTTTGCCAAAGTTTTTCGTCCTGTCCTGCTCTCAAATTGTCACTGTCTTAATTCTTAAAAGTGCACATTTCAGGTGAAGCCTTTGTCATCTGATTTTTTTTTTTCCCATGGAGACTTAAATGTTTCACAGTAGCATTAACCTTTTCCATCTTGCTTAAAAGTACATGAGTAGGGTCGCCTCCCCATAGATCTGATGTGTAATTTGGCTTGGTGGTGTCACTTTTTTGTAGCCTGATTCATCAGCCAGGTTTCACTTCATAGAAACCGTCTGACCTCGCAGCATTAGGATTCGTTCGCTCGACGGTAGGCAGGTACTTTTTTATTTAACCAATTGCTGCTATTTGTTCGTGACTTATGTAATGCGCCATAACGCTCAGTGGTGTCCAAGTAATTGCTGGCACAACAGGAAAACAAAATAGAGAGTGAACATATTTGTCAATGATCATTGTCGTTTCTGTGAGATGAACTTACGAAATAAAGGTGCAAAAAAAAATAAATAATAATAATGCGAATTTTGTATTTGTCAAATGAAGTCCAAAGGAGAATAGCATATGTAGTCTGCTGTCGCAACTTGGGTTGGTTCAGCTCTTCACCGATTGTCCGGTGCGCGATCTGCAACTTCCGGGGTTCATGCAAACCGTCTAGTGTATTTTGATTCCTGACCTAGTTGCTGGAGAGAAATGAAATTGAGCACTAGGTGGCACCAGCCTAGCTAACTTTTTTGGCTCCATGGAGAGAAATACATTTAATGCAATACTGTGGAGCATTCTGGACATAGAAACAACAGCTCTTTGGAGACAAGGTGATAACTAACCCTCCAATGAAATGGAAAACACACACCAAAGTTCTTGTAGAGGAAATGCAAGCAAAATAAAAGTGAAAAAATGCATAGCATGCTCAGATGGCTGATATTCAAAAGCGTTTTTTTTTTTTTTTGAATAACATTTTGTCAGTAAAGCCCTCGTTAAATAATTTTTTTTGCTTTGGACCACAGTATGTAATGGGCCCTCCACCAGAAAAGTTATAATTTTTTGACATATTACAAATTTTCTGTTCAAATGTGGTCTTTCCAATTTTGAAATATAACAAGAAAAAGAGGGGGAAAAAAGACTGAAAATAAAAACTAAACTATTTACAGAAACAAAAACTGCCATCAAAAATATTGTGTTATATAGTGTAAAATAAAATATAACAAATCTTCACCAGAAGTGGAGAAGTTACAAGAAATCTTTTCTGATTGGATTGAATGTACTGATCTATGTTTTAATATTGTTTCCTCATCACAAACATACCCGAGTTGTGTTTTGTTTCATTTACACATGTTTAACACACAAACCCTGCATATTTAGGAGTTATTCTCTAAATACCGGAAGTGTTTTTAAACTCTATACACCTTCATTAGAATCACTTTGATAATTTCAGCTTTAGAATTGCCAGTCTCTTCATGACATCACAAGGTGGAACAGAGCATTTGGAGCTTTGGAGATGCAGACAGACTATTAATAAAGGGTTACTTAAACATGTGTGAATGTAACAAAACTCAACTCCAGGTATGTCTTTCATGAAATAGCAGCATTATAACTTGGATTAAAGCTCAGAAGAATCAATCTTTTGTAACACAGGACCTTTAAAAGTTCTTATCTTGTCCTTTCTTCCTTCAGACTGGACTCTATCTAAGTGTGTCTGACCTGTCTGTGTGTCTCTCCACAGGGCGGGAGAAAAGGAGAAAACTTCGATAAATTCTTCACGGGAGCTCCGGCCGTGCTCACTCCCTCTGACCCCGATGTCCTCGCCGCCATCAACCAGGAGGACTTTGAGGGCTTCTCCTACCAGAATCCAGACTACGCTCCATCTCCGCTCACCGCTGTTTGAGAACGCCTGCTCCTTCTCCTGCTCCTGCACCTGTCACTCTGCCCTGTACTCCTCCTATTCTAGTTTTCTATTAGACTATTTAACCAGTTATTACAATGTTCTCAGAGTTTAACATAGCAAAGATTCATCACTCGTCTATTGTTAAAGAGGGGGTACTATGCTGAATCAACTTCTTTTTAGCTTCTACCATGTTGTAACGATGTTCCCTCATCAGAAACATGCCTGAAGTGGTTTTCTGAATTATTTGTGCGTGTTTGATTGGTTTCTCATATGAACTAATCGAATCCTCTGTTTGGTTAGGCGCACGAGACCACGGAGAACAGCAGGAGCTTCAAAAATGCAATTGAAACTAATGAAACTTTTAAACACACTCATTCCGATGAATAGTATTTTCATGGTGATCTAAATATGTTATGTGTTCACAGTTAATACCACATAAAAGTGTAATACCCCCTCTTTAACATTTGTGTTGCAAGTCTGGAAGATAGTTCTCCTTATTTAAATCATATTCAAGTAATTGGCTTTCCTGGAATTTCTGTTATTGTGACTGAAGAAAAAAAAAAGGTATAGAAATAAACTCAACTTTCTAATACTTATACATTCTAAGAAGAAATTATAGACATAAATATTTCCAGGACCCTATTTTTGCTAAACAAATATAATCTCTTTAGTTATCTACAAATATTTTCAATATCCGTAATCCAAAAACAAATATATTTCTGAATCGTCATTGGCAGAGAAACGTTTTAATTAAAGCTAATCAACCATATAGATTATAAAACCAAAGTATGGACAGTGTTGGGAAGTAAGTGAATAGTTGTACAGACAATATTTATTCTGAAAACTAATTTTGAGTCACTGTTTTCTGGTACAGTTACTTTTTCATTTGGTGGTATTTTCTACAATCAAAGAAATGCACAGTTGATCTTCTTCTACTTGATCACCCAGTTTAGGCTTCAAACTGCACAGAATCAATGAGAAAAATATAAAACGCAGCGTGTGTGGTTTTTCCTTCTCTGATCTGCGATATATAAATACAACAAACACAAAGCTGTTTCATCTTTACACTATCATTTAAAAGCAGCTCTGCATGAAAATATTCAAAGTATTCACAATACAGTACTCTGATTGGACCATGGATCAGAATACATTTTAATGCAGGTATTTATTGTTCTGTAACTAAATATATTTTCAGAGTATTCTTCCCGTCACTGAGGATAGAATAGTTATTGCTGTGGTAATCCCCAAAATAAAGGAATAAAAAGTTATAATTTAAAGATTTTTGGGCTTTCACATGAAGACTGTTATTGTCTCATCGATGGAGACCTGGACGGATGGCGACTGGTGCTAGTGGGTTCTGTTACATTTAACTATGAGACTGGACAAGTGACACAGAGATGTTTCATAACCAAATGTTTACATAAGACTGAACGACACCTTCTACATTACTGAGTTAGATGTAGGGTGACCATCTTCAATAGTTGTGGTATAATATAAGAAGATTTAAGCTTAAAAACGATCAGGATTTTCAGTGGTGTCTCCCGAAAACACAGTGAAGCAGAGGGTAGAGTGGCCACATTTTTTCCTCAAGTAAGCATACTTCAGAATAATATTACTCAAGTACTAAGTAGTGGTCCAAGAAGTGACTCAAGTAAAAAAGTATTTGGGAAAACTACTACTGAAGTACGGTAAGAGCAACTTTAAGAGTAAAAGTCAGGACATAACATCTGATTTGTAATTTGAAATGAATAAAATAGAAAGGTTAAAACATTTCAAACCTGGTATTTTTGAAGGATAGACCACAAAAATGAGAAAAACTAAATAGTATCTGAAGGAATAATTCTAGAAATACAAATATCAAGTCATTTAATATTCAACGTAAAGCTTTTGTCACTTACTTACAGAGGGAAAAGTAACCAAAACGTTTACTAGAACAATAGTACTGTTACTTAAAAAATACTTCTCAGGTAGGACTAAACGTGTGCAGCTATGAAAGTACTCTGAAAACTACAATTTATTTTAAAAAGTTACTCAAGTAAACAGAAGTGAGTAAATGGAAATCAGCAAAAAAGTGTTAATTTTATGTAAGAAAAATATATATTGTATGAAACTGATGTGTTTTGAATGCAAATCTCATATTTTTTATTCAGTTCTTTGGCATAAATAAAAGTGGGAGAGTCTTTAAATAAATGGGACGAGGGTCAGGATAAACCAAGAGAGGGACAGGTGGTCACCCTAGCCTAGTTAAATGTCTCAACAAACACATTTCTGTCTGTAGAACTCTTAATAGTGTCTCTTAGTGTGGATTTTATAATGAAGTACAATTGTCTATGCATGCATGAGCCACTCAGAAATCTATAGTTAAGTGTTAGTGTTATAAATTGTGTTGGCAAAGATTATGTTTATGTTCAAGAAATTAAGATTTAAAACCACATTTATTTGATTTTAATAAGAAAAAATAAAAGCGAATTAAAAAGTGTGACTGATCCATATGAGGAAAAAATGTATTTGTTTTTTTTTTTGCCATTTTGTCCAGTCCTTTGCTTTTGAGTGAAGAATTAACTTAACGTAAAGGTGCATTGTGTAACTTTTCTGGTGCTTTTCTCCAAGGAGATGTTATTGCTTTGTCTGGAATGTTTCACAGTATGGCATTAAACCTTTCTATCTTCATGGAGCCCAAACTAGACCACGTTACAGGTCAGATCTGTGGAAAGGCGACCCCGCTCACAATCAGAATGTGTGTTTTTCTAGGTATTTTTGAGCTGTATTTTAATAAATGTAGAGTAGAGTGGTTTAATGCCATATTGTGGAACATTTCAGGCAGAGCAATGACACATCCATAGAAACAAATGAGATGAACCCCAACCAAAAAGTTACATTGTGCATCTTTAAGATTTACTAAGCAAATGTCATTTTATTCAATATTCCTCTTAAAGGCACACTGTGTAACTTTTCTGTCATCACCTGCTTGTCTCCACAGGAAAAGGAATGTTCCACAGTATGGCATTAACGTATCAACCTTGCATTTATTTCATTACAGGTGTTTCTTTTTAAATATTATTACTAAGAAAACCTTGTAGTCACACTTACAATGATCTTACTTGAAACTTGATCATACTGTGGAACAATCCAAAGCAATAAAATCTCCATGGAGACAAGCACAAAAAGTCCCAAAATGCACCTTTACAACAAGAAAAAACTGATACTATAAATAATGGAAAAACAAAATTAAATAAATATACTTGATGACAGGTAACACTATATAATAACTGTACTTTAATTAGCCTAAACAAAGAGTAAACAAAGAGTAGCTGATTAATTCATACTCTAACCTTGTAATGAAGCAGTCACTAAGCCTGGATCATTCTGAATAAACAATTGTTGTAATAAAGTGATACTAAATCAATGCTAGCAGTTTTAAAGGGGTTATATTACTCTATTTTTGGTCTATGTTATAATATTGTAAAATAGCAGTACAGGTTCTCTACGAGGGTTAAACTAGTAATCTTAACAGAATGTAGCTCTTACTGAAAAATGTAAAAGTGGGCAAGGTACAAACCCGAGTCCAGATAAATTAACCCCAATGTGCTTCGATCAGCAAGATGGTTTTCTCCAGCCTGATTTATCAGCCTGTTTCACTTCATGGAAACTGTCTGACCTTGCAGCATTAGAATTTGTTCGCTCGACAGTAGGCAGGTACTTTTTTTATTTAACCAATCACTGCTATTTGGTCATGACATAATGAACTGGTATATTAAGCTTTTCCCAAATCCCGTAGGAAGAAGGGCAATAACGTCTTGATAAAATTGACCAAACATTCTCTTTGTTCTGGCTTTAAATCATCGATCTCAGGAATCGTTGCCAACACAGAATATGGCTCTTCGCTGATTCGTCGGTGCCCAGACTCACACTTCCAGGGTTTTTGCAAACCGTCTAGTGTATTCGCTGGAGAGAAATGAAATTGAGTGGAGGCACTATGTCTTCACCATTATTCCCTGACGAAGACCATCTTGCTGGTCGAAATGTGTTGGCGTCCCTTCATGCAATAATAATTTAATATATTCAGTCGGAGTGCCTCGGGCTTGTACCTTGCCTACTTTTACATTTTTCAAGTGTAGCTTTCTGTTAAAACACCTGGAGTTGTGTTTTGTTTCATTCACACATGTTTATCACAAATGCTGCATATTTAGGCTGAGTTATTCTCTCAAACAGAAAATAAAACACTTTCTGATATCATGTGGTAATGCAGGAAAAGCTTCATTATGTTTTTAAACTCCATACACCTTCACTAGAATCATATGGATAATTTCAGCCCTGGAATTACCAATCTACAAAAGGTAAAAGATAGAACAGAACACTTTAAACACTAATAATAAAGTGTGAATGAAACAAAACACAACTCCAGGTATTTTTGTGATGACATTATAACATGGATTAAAGCTCAGCAAGATTTAATTTGTGTGATATAGGGCCTTTAAATGTAAATGATCATGCTCACTGTCATTTCAGGCGACCGTTGTTGAATCTGGTTTCTGGTCTGGGGCTGTATTGTGTGCTCCACTGACCTCTGGCTAAGTGGCATTTGGCTTTGACAGAGGCTGACTCTACACTCCACTTTATGAAGGCTCTTTTTTTTTTTTTTTTTACAGCGCTCTGTTTGTCCTGCCCCGCGGTGACCCCTCTGTCAGCAGCACGTCATACCCAGACAACCTCACATGACCACAGCCAAAACACACACGCACTGGAAACATGTTCAGATGGCCTTTAGTGAAATAACTCCGTTTCAGATCATTACACTGAACTGAGGAATTTGATCGTTTTAGTTCTTTTGAATGCAGCATTCATTTATTTATTTTTAGCATTATTTAGAAGCTTTTTCCTGTTATTTCTGACTTATTACAAGAAAATTTTGATGGATTTTGAATTTTCATAAAATGCCATGGATTTTTAGTCTGCGTGTCGGCTTCCTCCAGGGTGCTCTAAAAACATTTACAGTATGG